AGATCAACTCGTCCCAGTGGGTGGACGACTCCTCCTCCAAACCCTATTAAAGGGTGGGAGGCCGGATGTATGCAGTCCGTCTGATATTTCAGTTTTGACAGACATTTGCTGCTGATGAGATCTGAAGAGCTCCCAGTATCTATGAGGATTCGACCAACTCTCTGGTTGGCCACTTTACATTCAATAACGAGAGGGTCGTCATGCGGCCCCCTTATTCCTCCTAGATCCTCTTCAGTGATGACAATCTCAGGAAATGTATATTTGGACGGTCGTTCTTGGTGAACGGAATTTACATCTAACCGCCTTATATTATCTTTGTTGCCCCTAATAGTGGGGCCGCCTCCTGAGAAGCCGCCTGCAATGGTGTAGACGACTGCATCATCTGTATCGGAACTGTCGGCCTGTTGATTCTTTTTGGCCGACTGCTTTTTTGAGGAAGTATTCCCCGTAGATTTCTTGACATAAGTGTCAAGATCACCTTGATCAGCCAAGCGGTCTAGGTACCGCATGAGACTAATGCAGTCATTGGTGTGATGACCAATGTCATCATGATAAGCACAGATTTTGTCTTGGCTCCGGTTGCTCGCAGAACCCTTCATGGGGAGCGGTTTCTCAATTGAGAGCCGTCCCTTTATTTCTTTTAGGATAAACTGGTTATCCTTGTTAAACACATACTTTGGGGAGTATGGTTTGAATTCCTTTTTCTTCTTGGCCGGCTGTTTAGAGGAATCAGCCGCCCAGACCCCTTTTCTTTTTTCATCTTTGTTGGACGACTGTTTCTGTCGTCCTTCTCTATTGTCGAACCTCTTCCCGTCCGACTGTTTCATTGTACACAGATCAGTCGCCTGTATATAGGCTTCTGCTTCAATCAAGGCCTCTTGAAGAGTCGCCACCCTTTTTCGAACTAAATCAAATTTGAAGGTAGACCCGTCTTTGAGACCTCTAAAAAAGTCAGTATAAGCTACCTCATCCGGTAACCCTTGAATCTGTATTCTCATCAGGTTGAACCGCCTGATGTAGGAACGAAGCCCCTCCTTTTCACCCTGCTGAATTGTTCCCAAATCAAGGGTCGTTTTCTTCGCAGGGATGTTCATTGCAAAGTTGGAGGCAAATAAGTAAGCAAGCGTCCTGAAACTGTTTACACAACCAGTCGGCAGGTTGCCGAACCATTGCTGTGCAATTCCCTTGAGAGTTGCTGGGAAACACTTGCACCAAGTGGGATCATCCAACCCTTGAAGGTACATCAGGTTGGTGAATGCCATCAGATGGTCTTCCGGGTTAGTAGTGCCATCATAGGCGCCTACTAAAACATTTTTTACTTTGGCCGGCTGAGCGGCTTCAGTAATTTCCTTGGAGAAGGCCGACGGCTGTTCACCAAGTCTAAGCAACCGTAGCTGCCAGTCCATAGGTTGGACGTTTTTTGCTGCAGGTCCACCAAATGGAGGTGGCTGCATAAAATATTGTTGTTGCGGCACAAATGGCAAATTTGGTACCGCCTGCGCACTATGAAAGCCAGACTGACGGGAGGTGCCGCCTGACTGACTCTCATGGTACGACTGAGTTGGCCTCATCGAGGCATTTCGCAAACTGTCCTGAAAATTTGAAGTAGAAGCCGACTCTGATAATCGGTCACTCTTCTTCTGCTCTAGCAGGTGCCGAGCATCTGTGAACGTTTGCTTTGACCCGTCCGCCTGAATATGACGAACCGGTTTCCTATTTCCCGTAGGATAACGGAGTTTTGTGAAATCAAGAGCAGACGGCTCCCGCTTCTTAGATTTAGGATGGGGAGTCGCCTCTCGCCCTTGAACTGGCTTCCTCTTCAGTGAAGTGGAAGGTTTTTTGGCCGCCTGCTCTTTGACTGAAGCAGGCGGTTTTTTGTTGATCAACTCTTGGATCTCTCCCTTGAATCCCCTCATGAAGGTCATGAGTTCGTTCCTTGTGATGGGAGCAGACCCATCAGTCGGCTGTTGCCGAGCAAGCGGTGCGCCTGCTGGCTCGCTTCCTGTTTGAAGATACTCCCGTTCCCTTATTTCAGTATGACGGGTACGGCGGGCCCTTAGGGTCCCGTCTGGAGCTGTATGAGTTTCAACTTCAAATTCACTTTCGGTATCATGGTCCGACTGAACTTGAGGGTCGTCTAGGGGACGCCTCTCTTCTGGGGTCGGTACAGACTTGGATGCCATCTCTGAAGTACTCTCCCCACAGACGGCGCCAAATGTTTTGGGGTTTTCTGATGTCCTGCGGGAGAGCTACAATTCCGAGACTGGAACCGGACGCCTGTACCTGCAAAATAACGGAGACTCCTGAGAGCTCCGCCTCCAACGGTCAAGTTAGTACCTGATTAAGGAGTAATCAATACAGAAATTAAAGTAATAAGGTCTCTCTAGGTGAGAGTATTTAATATAGGTAATCTGCTTTGCTAGCGAGATCAGCCGGTTATTAGTGTGTTCCGTAATGTTTCTCCTCCGTTCCGTTAATTATTCCGTCCCTTGATTAATGAGGATTAATCGAGTATTTATAGCCTTGGGAAGCGTGCAACTCTCTAGGTTTAAGGTAAACCTAGGGCCGATCGGGCTTCTAGACTGAAATGGGCCTTGATGGCCGGTTGTCCCATTTGGCATGGGTGGACACGTGGCGTGTCTTAAGTGGTCCGTGGAGGACGCGTGGCGGAACCTGGTTGGTCCACTTGTCAAACGGCGCTTGGTGGATAAAAATCCCCTAATCAAGCGCCTTCCTTCAGTTGAAAAGGATCTCGGCGGCGCCAGAGCTAAAATAAAAAACCTTGAGGAGAAGGTTAGACAAATGGAAGCTGATAAGCCTGGTATTCGTCAGAGAGTCGTGGGCCGTTATTTAGCTTCGAACGAGTTCTGCTCCAAGCTCCAAGATCATTTCGATGGAGGTTGGACTGCTGCTCAGAGATGTGTTGCCCATGCTGCCGGTTGGAAGAAGGAAGATTGGGCCAAAGTTGAAAAAGCTTTCAACGAGGAAGCTTACAAGATCCCTTCCGGCTTCGAGACACAGCAATTCTCTGAAGAGGACCTGTACAATTTGGTGCCCAGTGCTGACGACGGCCCTAAAGATCCCAGCATTTTAAATTCTCCAGTGCCTGAGAACGCACAAGCTTGAAGGGGCGGGCAGTCATCACCGACATCTTCCTGTGGGTCTTGTATTATTGGGCCTTATCAGCTGTAACTCTCTTTTTATTGCCTTATATATGTCTCAATATTTATTTTGACAATGTTGTTTTATCGGCATATACCCCTTTTTTGTGGTGATGCCTGTCGGTTGTCAACTTTACTGTCATGTAAACTTAACTCATTTTCATTTTCGTTGTTTATCAACTGCTTGCAAATTTAAGCAAATTTAAACACCTCTTATCGTAACTAAGTTGTTTTTACTTATCACTCGTTAATTTGCTTATTTAAACAATGTTATCGTAACTACATTGCGTTGCAATTCACAATATACAAAAGACAGAGATACGCAAAAGACAGTTTGCAAAAACAAAGATTTACCTGATGATCTGTCTGATATCCGACAACTTTCAACAATTATCAAATTATGAAGATATCATATCATAACAACCTGTCATTTAAAAACTATCAATGCACGATATTTATCTCATTCTTTACTCCCCTCAGTGTACATAGTTCGTGTTAGAACTATGTATACTTGGCAGTTATCATTCGTTGATGGTCCAGATTATAACATTGGTCACCCACTACTTTATTGTTTCAGCCAGTTAGGTACCCTCTCGGCGATCACTTTCTGAGCTACGCCTCATATCGGCGTATACTCAAATTGATTTGGTCGGTATTATACTTTGAACCAGCAACCTCGTGAGTTAACGTATACAACTGATCAGGTTGTATATCTATTAACTTCACGGAAGCGGTTTTGAGTTGTCCGTCCCATTTAACGGTGTTCTGTTAAATGGAGGATGCCTATTCCAATATACGTTGTCTGAATGTTTCTTTATTCATCACTGATACCCTTTTTCGATATCAGCTTCACATGAAAATTGTACATTATACGTAGTATTTCTTCAGCACAGCCGTGTTCCATACATTCTTTAGGGGTGTCCCATCCAAAGTTTCGAGATAAAACGATCCTTGGATGATGACATCTCTAATCCGATAAGGTCCTTCCCAATTTGCAGCCACCTTTCCATCTTCATTTCCCTTACCGGTTGCCGCTGTTCTTCGCATTATTAAATCCCCCACACTTAACGGCCGATGAGATACTCTTTTGTTGTAGGCCCTCGACATTCTTTCCTTATATGCAGCTGACTTAACTGCTGCTTTTTCTCTGAGCTCTGGTAAAAAGTCTAACTGTTGTCGTAGGAGTAAATGATTTTGGTCTTCACAGTAATGCTGAATCCTAAATGTCGGCAACCCAACCTCTGCTGGTATTACTGCCTCTGTTCCAAACACTAAAGTATAAGGTGATTCACCTGTGGCCTCTCTTATTGTCGTCCTATTTGCCCACAATATCTCCGGTATCAAATCTGCCCACAAACCCTTTGCATCTTCGATCTTCTTTTTAATTTCCGTTATAATTTGCTTATTTGCTGCTTCTGCCTGGCCGTTAGACTGTGGATGGGATACTGCTGCATAAGCAAATTTCACCTTATACATCGTTAAGAGATCTTTGACTGGCTTACAATCAAATTGGGTTCCATGATAAAAAACCATCGCCATCGGCAACCCAAATCTTGTGAAGATACTTTTCCATATAAACTTCTTCAATTCTGATGCCGTTATCTTCGCTACTGGTTCTGCCTCAATCCATTTTGTGAAATAGTCTATCCCCACTATCAGAAATTTCCTTCCACCCGTGGCCGATGGGAATGGGCCAACTAAATCCATTCTCCATTGGGCAAAAGGGATTGGATTTAATATCGGAGTCAGATCATTAGGAGGCAAGTTGATAACTGGGGCAAACTTTTGACACTTCTCGCATCTTTTAACATAAGCTATTGCATCTGCATTCATCGTCGGCTAGTAGTATCCCCTTCTCATTGCTTCTCTGGACAAGGCTCTTGCTCCGAGATGGTTACCACAGCTACCTTCATGCAATTCTTCTAACAACCTTGCTGACTCAAAATTCGTTATACACCTTTGCAATGGCAGTGAAAACCCCCTTTTGTATAACTGACCTTGGTACATGACAAACCACACGCTATCTTTCCTTAATCTTTTCAACTCCCCCTTATCCGCCGGCCCTGCACCATGGATGAGGTATGCCAGTATTTTATCATACCACTGGTTCCCAACATCAATACACAAAACCTCTGCCGACATCTCATCTATGCTTCTCTGCTTTAAAACCTCCACCATGACCGTCCTTTCCAAGTCATCAAAACTTGAACTTGCTAATCTTGCCAACGCATCCGCTTGAGCATTTTTCAGTCTCGGAACTAATTTTATCTCAAAATATTGTAACTGCGCTGCTAACTGTTTCATTTTCTCCAAATACTTCACCATTGCGGGCTCTCGAGCTTCATACTCTCCATCATACTGACTTGATACCAGTTGGGAGTCAGTTGTTAAAACCAGCTGCTTTGCTTCTGCTGTGATTGACAACTGCATTCCGGCTATTGCAGCTTCATACTCGGCTTCATTATTTGTTGCCTTGAACTTAAGCTTCATGGCATATTCAAACATTTTCCCGTCCGGAGCCGTTATCACAATTCCAGCTGTTTCGGGGTTTTTTGATGTGTCCTGCGGGAGAGTTACAATTCCAAGAATGCCCTTCGACGCCTGTGCCTGCAAAATCACGAAGACTCCTGGGGGTAGGAGCTCCGCCTCCGACGATCAAGTTAGTAAAGATACGGGAGGTAGAATGCACGTAATGTGGAAGTTACTTCTCGCGTAATGGGAGAATTCCGCAATTAATATTGCTCGGGGTAAGTGTGTTTTCTTTTTGAGGAGTATTCAATGTGATCAACAAATGTTCCAGCCCCCATTAATGAGGGTCCTTCCACTATTTATAGTGGGGAAGGGATGGTTCCCCTTTTAGGGTTTAGAGGACACGTGTCAGCAGAGGATTGGAGCCCTGCTGACCAATGGCTGGATGCCACGTGTCACTAGGCCATTGGGCCATGTGATTAGGGTATTTTTACCCCAAACACCAGCCCCTGCCCCCGTTGCCATAGCTGAACCATCAAGTGATACCTGCCATGTGCCCAATTCTTCCTCTTCGTCCGTGTATGTGGTTTCAACAATAAAATCCGACAATGCTTGAGCCTTAATTGACGTTCTCGGCCTGTAGCTTATTTCATACTCCGACAACTCAACTGCCCATGTCAATAATCTACCAGATGTATCCATTTTATGCAATGATTTCTCCAAAGGGTGATTGGTTAACACCTCTATTGGATGTGCATCAAAGTAAGGCCTCAACTTTCTAGCCGCCACTACTACTGTTAACGCCATCTTCTCTATCACTGGATATATGCGTTCTGCCGCATTCAATACATGACTGACAAAGTATATCGGCTTCTGCTGCTTCTTCCTTTCCACTATCAAAACGGCTGCTACCGTTTTTGGTGATGCTGAAATATACAACTGCATCACTTCTCCCTTCTCGGGCCTGGCAATCGTGGGAAGAGATCTGAGATGATTCCTTACTACTTCCAAGGCATCACTCTGTTCCTTTCCCCACTCGAATGCCTTGTTCTTTCTTAGTACCATGAAAAACGGAAGCGCCTTGTCGGCTGACTTGCTGATAAATCTGGTCAATCCTGCCATCCTTCCAGTCAATCTCTGTATATCATGAATGGTTTTTGGTTGTTTCATTTGGAGTACCGCATTCACCTTATCTGGATTTGCATCTATCCCCCGTTCACTGACCATAAAGCCCAAGAATTTCCCTGATTTGACCCCAAACACACACTTCTCCGGATTCAACTTCATCTGATATCTCCTTAACGTCTCAAATGTTTCCCTCAGATCCGCTATATGGTCCTCTTTTTCTTTACTCTTTACTATCGTATCATCTACATATACCTCAACATTCCGGCCTTTCTGCTTCTCAAATATCTTGTCCACCAACTTTTAATATGTTGCTCCTGCATTTTTCAACCCAAACGACATTGCCTTATAACAGTACACACCGACATCTGTTATAAAAGCCGTTTTATTCCTGTCAGCCTTATGCATGCTGACCTGATGATATCCCGAAAACGCATCCAAAAAACTGAGCATAGCATGACCAGAGGTTGAGTCTACCAGCCTATTTATCCAGGGTAATGGGTAGCAATCCTTTGGGCAAGCCTTATTTAGATCTGTAAAATCCACACACATTCGCCACTTCCCTGTCGGCTTTCTCACCATTACTACATTCGCCAACCATTCCGGATATGTGCAAGGCTCAATGAACCCTGCCGCTAAGAGCTTATTTACCTCAGCCTGAATTGCTTCTATTTTCTCAGTTGAGAAATTGCGCTTCTTTTGCCTTATTGGCCTGAATTTTCTATCAACATTCAACTTATGCTCCATTACCTCTGGATGTATCCCCGACATCTCACTTGCCGAAAATGCGAAGACATCTGCATTCTCACGCAACAGGCTTATCAGATTACACCTTGTATCCACAACCATATCAGTCCCAACCTTCACTGTTTTACTCGGGTCGCCTGGTTGCAACTCAACTTGAACGGTTTCTCCCCCTGGTAACGGCCTTGGTGTTTCCTCAGGCCTTGCATCAAAGTTTTTCATCGTTAAATCTTGAACTGTTGGCTCACCTTCCCTTATCGGATTGCATGGTATTGGAGCACCCCCAACTGGGTTCTTCAGAGCTATCACGTAACAAGCTTTGACATCACCTGACCTCCATACACCTTCTCCACAGCTCCTAAATTTGACACATAAGCTATTGCTAGATAGTAAGTTGATACAACGACCTGCATATCATGTATTATCGGTCTGCCGATAATTGCGTTGTAGGCTGACTTAACATCCACCACCAGAAACTCTGCCATCACATCTCTTGCTTGTGGCCCATCACCCAGCTTAACCGGTAACACAACGCTCCCTTCCGGTCTCACTGTTGATCCATTGAACCCGATTACGGGATATGATACCGGTTTCAGGTACTGCCTTCCTATATTCATCTCATTAAAAGCTTGCACAAACAACACATTTGCTGAACTACCTCCATCCACCAGCACTCTTTTGATGTCAGCCCCGTTTATCTTAGTTATTAGGACTAACGGGTCATCATGTGGGAACACTACACCCCTTGCATCTTCTTCTGTGAACACTACCTGAGGTATTGATGCTGGCCGAGGACGATTTTCCACATCCAAGGCGCAAACTAGGTGACGATGCTCAGCCAAATGCTTCTTTGCTCCACTAATTGTCCCTCCATGAATCGGTCCCCCTGTTATCACATCTACCCTTCCAGTAGACAACGGTGGTTGTTGATTCCTGCTTGTGTTCAGCCGATATTGTGTCAAATGCCCTTTTCTGATCAACTCCTCAATGTTATCCTTCAATTGCGTACACTACTCTGTATAATGTCCCACATCCCTATGGAACATACAATACTTCTTCACATCCCTTGGCCTTGCCTTCATGGGAATCGGCCTTGACCAATCTTCTCCATTCTGATTCACTGAGTAGATTGCTGCCCTTGGTGTATTCAGGGGAGTGTAAGTGCTATATTTCATTGGCAGCCTTGTTGGTCTCGAATCTTGTCGGCTTCCTCCTCCCCTTCCTGGGGCAGGAGGTTTCGGCCTATTTCCTCCAGACGATGTCCCTTCATACTGGCTTTGCCCCTTTCCGGCAACTACATGTCTGCTACTTGTCTTCATCAATTCTTCACTCTTAATGTAATCATGAGCTTTACTAAACGCCGCTGCTAATGTCGGCAGGTTTTTCCTTGTAAGGTACCGTTTGAAATCAGAATCAACCAAGCCATTCATTAAAGCCATCACAGCTTTTTCTTGTTACAGTTTTGGGATTGTATTTGCCTCATTGTTAAATCGTCTAATGTAATCCCTCAAGGATTCATCCGGTTTCTGCTCCACGACCATCAATTCTCCAGAGGTTCTCTGCCTCACACTATTGCTGACATACTGACCCACAAACATCTCGGTCAATCTTTCAAAACTATCTACTGACCCAACTTTAAGGTTGTTGAACCAATCGGCTGCAGCCCCAATCAGAGTAGTCGGAAAGACCTTACACCAGACTGCATCTGAGTTGGTATACAACATCATGTGCCCCTCATAGGACGTTATAAATCTTGCCGGATCCTCTCTTCCATCATACCTGCAAGTCGGCATTTTCACCTTTTCCATTGGCTGTTCCAAGATATGCTGGGCGAAAGGAGATGCCCTTAACTGCACCACTGCTCGCACTGCCTGCCCATCCACTTGCGAACTTCTTTGCTGTTGGGTTCTCGTACTCACAGTGTGACTTGAGGAGTTTTCAACCCGCCGTGACATTGTGTGCGATCTTATCGGCGACTCATGTCGGGATCTCCTAGGCGAGTTCATCAACTGATTATGTTGCTCTTCCCGGTTACGGTGCGGTGTTCTTCTATCGGCCTGAGCAGCCCCCCTTTCAGCCTGTGTCGCCTCAGCCTCCTTTCTCTTCCTACTCATTGCACTCATCACCCTTGCTGCTGTCTCCAATTCATCTGGTGTGAATGCCGCCATAGGATCCCCTGCCTCCCCTCCGCCTGCAGGGGAGGTTATCGGCATGTAAAACTGATTATCCTCTAGGGTGTGGGTTTCATCCACTATCTCCACCTGAGGCTGTTCTACTGACTGATTCACTACCTTTCTTGTCATTGGTGTTTCATTGTTTCCGGCCATGATTGTTTTTATTATGTATATTTTTTTTGTGAGGTTCTTAGGCGACAGAAGTGATCAAAGTCCCCTCCTTCTAGCGCCAAATTGTTTCCGTCTGGATCTGATTTCCCAAGAACTCGGACCTGAGATCCTGATACCCCTATCGGCAAGCCGAGAACCTACACAATGAGAAGAAGTTAGCTAACCCCGGGGTGGTCCGAGGATAACCACTCCGATGACAAAGTTAGAAAGTATTCTAGAGAAGAAGATAAATATGAGAGAGAAAGTAGAGAGAGAGAGAGAGAGGGTCATCAATGCCCTCATAAATGAGGTCTTACCTACTATTTATAATGATCCACTTTGACAGGTGGCTCTCATCCATGCAAAGCCTCCTGCGCCAAGTGTCGAGCGTCTGTTGCCACGTGCCGAATTCCGACAAGCCGATATGCCTGCTTTCTGGTGCATATCGGCGCCTTTTCACAATTATTCAGAGTTTGATCACGTGCTTTTACAAGATATCGGTCCTACCTAGATATCATCCCATACAATCATTCAAACTCGAGAAATTCTCAACTCTCCAGGTAAAGCTTCTGTCATGTTTTTCTTCCACAACTGATAGAGTAGATATTTTGACTTGGTTGTTTATAACAAAAACCTCGGCACCAAATACACAGCAATCATCAACTAAAAATCCATAATCCGCGTCATTGAACGTGGATATGGGAAGAAATTTAGTGACTCCCCATGTATATTTCAAAGCATGATATCGCCTTCCTTTTACATCTACATCAAATCATCAATATTAACATTGTAACTTGTTAACCACACTACTTAACAAGTTAAATAAAAAAAGTGTGATGATAGTAAGGGGTACACACCTTGGTTTTAAAATTGGCTTATTTTACAAAGATTGTGATGAATTTGCTAAATGAATTATAAATCTTTAATTTATAGAAGAAAAAGAGTCCAAACCTAAGACAGACAGATAAGCATCCCTTAGGTGATCATAAAGGAAGAAACGAAGCACCACATCGACAAAGCTACTAGGGTTGAGTTTATCAACTAATGTCACATAAACAGAGAGGTGATCGTCTCCTTGTTCTTGGTTGTTCCCTTTGGGACATACAGACAACACCCTGAGACAAAATATCGACACCACCATAATCAAAAACCACGTAATGCTAGTCCTTAACATACCAAGAGATATTCTAGCAGGCGTAAAAGTACAATAGTTGCATTGAGATTTAGATGTAGCACTCACCATGTATAGCCTCCCACTTTAAATTCTGTTGATTTAAAATTATCTTTGTTAGATATAAAATTACTCAGCATCTTGAAGCACGGAGAATGAATCAATTTTGAAAATGCAATGTGCTGGTGGTTTTTGTGTCATCATTCTCACAACTTCTGTAAAAGAATGTACCAAACATCATTTTGATTTTTTTTTTTTTTTTTATTTTATTTGAGGAAATCTTTTGATTAATTTCACTATGCATTGAACAAGTACATGTATTATGACTATACAAGCTAAGGATGGGATACAAGGTATTTTGCTTTGCTATTTGAATTGAAGAGATATTAATGAATGGATCATTTTCCAACTTAAAATTTTTTATTTTCTTTTAAACTTGTTTTCTGTACCGACTCTTCAATTCTTCTCCCTAGTCAAATTTATTTCCTTCAATTCCTACAGAAAAGAATTGTTCGAAATTAAAATGAATTTTCTCCGTTTTTTTTAAGTATCCCATTGAGAGTTTATTCCTTGTTAATACGTACTGTGGGAAAAGTTGCATTTACTGGAAATAGGTAAATGACGGTAAATGAATTTGAATGTAATAATAGAAAAGTGACTTAGAAAGTTAATACCATGGATATATGCCTCTGTCCATACTATTGAGTATTGACACAGGACGGAGTTTGTTGCAAATTTCAAAATTAAAGTGGATCTCTTCATAGCATTATAGGATATGATCAAATGTCGCTAACCTGATCATCATTTCTTAGAAAATTCTCATTGATAACCTGATCATCATTATATTATCCAATTAACCACTTACAAAGTATGACCATGTAATTATCATTTCAATATTATCCTTAATGCCTCATTCTTCTCCCTTACAAGTTACTTTTACAACATGCATCGAATTAAATCTTTGGTTATTTGGGACTGACAAACATCAAGTTAAGTTTGTTGATACTTCTTCACTTTGGAACTGCCCTTAAATATCCCTGGCACCAAGAATGTCGCGGGCCTATGCACAACACGATTGGTAATCACCAAAGAAAGTTTAGGTTGCTAATCACATACCAGGCCAACATAGTAATCTAGCAGTCATTCACCAAACAAATAAAAAAGTAAGGAAAAATGTTGAAACTGCTTGATATTAAGAGCAATGAAGATTTCAAAAATACAAACATGCGCTAAGTAGAATGGAATGCAGTACATGATATTCTATGCTTGGAAAATACTAAAATGCTAGTACTATAACGACATGTCAAGTTCCATGAATACATGTTTGGAACATACTAAAAACATAACAAGACACATCAGTTTCTTAAATCACAAAATTGCACTATTAAATCTTGTACCATACATAGTAGAATAATTAAGAGCTAGGAAATTGCAAAATTGTTTCTTATTGGACATCCAAAATGCTTCTTATTACTCCTGCTTCACTGACTCCACATCTTTCAGCAAAATCATCTTCTGAATACGATGTTCAATGATTATAGTATCGTCTACTAAGTAGCCTTTCGAAGAATCATGTATATCATTGAGAGAAATAATGTCGTCAAAACCCCAATTGAGAGCACTTGCAGTGAACCAGGAGTTGCCTGAAATATATATCAGTAAACTAAGAATCATGTAAACTACTATGTATCTAGAACATGCATAGGAAAGCCATAATGTAAGTTGGTGAACATGCATTAACCGACATACATTCAACTATAAATATGCTATGATGTGTAGTTGTGATGTAAGAAACTAAGCAATATAATTACCATTTGTCATTGATAAAGTCAACCTTTGTGTTCTCCCATTCCTACACCATTTAGCTTAAATACTTTTACAAATACAAATTACTCACTACAAACACTAGCTATAATTTTAACATTAAATTTATTTGTAAGTTAATCTTACCAGATTCTTTGTGGTCTTTTCCTTGGCGTTGATTCTTCAAGCAAAAAAAATCTGCAACATACAGTTTGTTACCTTGGGTTAGCCTAGAGGTATCGTCTAGTTGCAGATACAATGAGAGGCTTTTCCCCTTCTCCTTATTGCTTCCTCTTGCATACAAAACCAATTTCCTAAAAGAAATACAAAAATGATGCATAAGAGAAAATACAGAGTTAAAGACTCGTAATAGTATGGCTGGATGATCAGATGTTCACTTTTAAAGTAATAAGAAATATTAACCCAGTACTCTTAGGATAATATAGTATACTCCAACACATTAGGATTTACCAAATCACTAACAATAAATACAGGATTCTCAATCGCAATATGGTCTAAATTGAGTAAGGGGAAAACAATAAATCAATGATGTATTGATGCAGATCAAAAGCATTGTATAAGTTTATGCAACATACCATGACCATCCATCAAAGCAATATACGGGATCGGAGAACACACTACATCATTCAAAGTCGAGAAATTCTCAATTCTCCAGGAATAGCTTCTGTCACAATTTTCTTGCACAATGGACATAGTAGATATCTTGAAATGGCTGTTTATGACAAGAACCTCAGCACCAAATACACAGCAATCATCCACCAAAAATCCATAATCCGCATCATTGAATGTGGAAACCGAAAGGAATTTAGGGACTCCCCATGTATCTTTCAATACATGGAATCGCCTCTCCCTTACATCTACACCAAAATTAACATCAACAAATTAAAGAACATGATCAATGTTATAAATGTATTAGAAATTTAGAATACATAATATGACTCTTTCAGTTAAAAGAAACAAGAGTACAAACCTAAGACAGAGAGATAGGCATCCCTGAGGTGATCATAAAGGAAAAACCGAAGCACAACATCAACAAAGCTACCAGGGTTGAGTTTATCAACCAATGTCACATAAACGGAGAGGTGATCGTCTACTTGTTCTTGCTTGTTCCCTTTGGGAAATACTGAGAGAACCCTGAGGCAAACATCGACACAATCATAATCAATAGCCACATATAACTTGAACCCCTAACAAGCATTCAATAGCCATTACAAAGTACAGTACAGTAATAACCGGTTAAAATTGAGGTATACCACTCACCATGTATAACCCCCCGCGCTAAATTCTGTTGATTTAAGATGATCTTTGCTAGACGCACATAATGCATCTTGAACTTCGGAGAATGAATCTGTTGGGTTTGAGAGTGTGGAGAACGGTTTCAAGAAGGCTAAGGGGGTGCATAGCTTAGGAGATTAAGCTATGGGCTATTGCTTGGTGTAAAGCAATGGTGGATGTCAAAGGGCTGCCTTCAAATGGGCATATCTCAAGATCTAGAAGTGATATTGAGATAATTCAAGTTGGAGGTGATAGCTCGTCTCAAGAGCTTTCCAACGCCTGGTCATAAGCTCGATTTGGTTAAGAATCGAGGGAGTTATGACTGCTTTAAGAAGAGTTGTCTGCACAGTGAGGGAATTCGACCGAACTCATGAAAGGTTCGGTCGAACCTAGTAACTTCTGAGTAATTGAGGCAGAATGTGTAGCCTTTTGATTTCTAGAGCAGGTTCGGTCGAACCAAGGGAGATGTTCGACCGAACCACCTTATGTTCGACCGAACTCTAGGACGGTTCGGTCGAACCATCGAGCCCCTGTTCAGCGACGCGATTTCTTTTATTTCGCTCGGGATGTAATCTTAGCCGTTGATCTTCTAGCACTATATATACTCTTGTATTGTCATTGTAGAGAAAAAGTGTGATGAAGGGAAAGATGTAGAGATAGAGAGAGCCTCATGTTTACCCAAACACTTAAGGTTTGAGTGTTTGAGAGAGTGAGCTTGGGTGGGAGCTTTAATGGTGATTGAAGCTTGTAATCTACATTGTTTTTCATCAAATTGTTACTCCATAGTGAATTGGTGGGTTTTTCTCCCGGTTCTCGGGTTTCCCACGGTAAATTCTCCTTGTCTCGTTTATTACTTGTTTTTCCGTCTTCGTTGTTGTTAATTGTCGTTAATCGCAAACTTAGCTAGCACGTTGGTAATCCCTTTCAATTCAACTTTGAGAATGCAATGCGCTGGCGGTTTTTCTGTCCTTAGTCTCACTACTTCTGTATAAGAGTGTATTTAGCAGCACTAATATCAGTATTGTAATTTGCATCATTAAACAGTCACTAGTGCACAGAACAAGTACTTATATGACTATATACAGAAAGTTGAAATAAAATTAAGGTGAATGTTATAATTAAATACAAACATTAGAAAGTGTAAGAGCAGTATGATGCATATCCCCATCTTCGTCCATAAGAAGTCTGCTGCGTTTCAGAGGGAGGAATTTATCCTCCATTATCGACACTATGAAGTTGGAAGTATGATATTATAATAACGGTTCAGCTTCAAGCTAAGAATGTATGCAATGTATTATAATGTACATTAATTAAAGGTAGTATATATATATATATATATAGTAGTGGTATGAGTTGAATTGCGTCTTTTAATCTTGTTTTGTTATTTGAAATGAAGGGATATTAATCTGTTGGATCATTTCCCAACTTGAAACTTTCTAGTTTCTCTCAAGCTTGTTTACTCTACCCGACTTTACATCTCCCAAGTCCTTGAACATTTCTTCTCCCAAGTAAAATTATCTTAAATTTAACCGGAATAATATTCTTTAAAAGTACTTTTACTTACCACATACTCGCTTCGTCCCCTTATTGATAGTCCCTTAATGGCCAACTTTTTGTCCCAAATTGATGATAGTCTCATTTGCTTTTTTCAAGTACCATTAATATCCCTCAATTATTTACCAAAATTCTACTCCCTCCGTCCCCCTTTTGATAGTCCATTATAAGCAAATTTTAGTCCCAAAATATTCACCCCATTTGCCTTTTTCCACAACCATTAATATTAATTTTTTACTAAAATTATTAGAGTTGGTTTGGTTTATTTGGTATATTTATATTAATATTGTATTTATGTTAAGTTTATCTTTTTGGGAGTTTTAGGCTAATTATGTTTCCTAATGTATTGGGTATATATATGTGATTAATATCAATACAAAGTTAAGCCGTTTTCTCCAATATTTCTTGAGTTTAACATGGTATCAGAGCCTCTCTAATTTCTAGAGATTTTTCGATCCTTGGTTCGTTTTTTTTTCCGCATATTGTTTGTTTGTGAGATTAGGCTTCAATTTTTTTACATTCCTCATAATAACTTTCTTTTGGTTGAATTCGGTTCTCCATAATTTTCTGGTTTAGTTTTTTTCAAATTTAGGCTTCCAGACTCTAAATTCGTTTGCTGGTTTCTGTTTTGGTGCGCAAGTTCCTGCTTGTGTGCTTCGTTTTGGTGGTGCTCGTGCTTGAGTGCTGTGTTTGGTGTGGTGTTGCTGCGCGCTAGTGGTCCGTGGTGGTGTTGTGCGTTGTTTCTTGTGTGCTGTGCGAGTGCGTGGTGCGTAAGGAGTGTGTGGTTTAATTATTTCGGTGTGCTGCGTTGTTGCGTGGTGTGCTGTGAAGTGTGTTGCTGCTGTCTTGTCTTGTGTTGCGTGGTGTTCTTTTTCATTGTGATATTTGGGGTCCGAATAAGATTGTTTCTAGTTGTGATGCTCGTTATTTCCTAACCATTGTTGATGATTTTTCTCGTGCAACTTGGGTGTTTTTGATGGTTGGTAAATATCAGGCTTCTCAGTTGGTTTGTGAGTTCTGTGCTATGGCTAAGACTCAATTTGGCAAGAAAGTGAAGGTGATTCGAAGTGATAATGGCCAAGAGTTTCTGAGTTTGGGGTCGTTCTTTGCACAAAAGGGCATTCTACATCAGACATCGTGTGTTGACACGGCTCAACAGAATGGTAGAGTTGAGCGTAAACATCGTCACATTTTAAATGTGGCTTGTGCGCTTCGATTTCAGGCAAAGTTGCCGAAGTATTTTTGGGGTGAGTGCGTTATGACTGCAGTCCATCTTATTAATCGCACTCCAACGACGGTTTTGAAAGGTAAAACCCCTCATGAGCTTTTATTTGGTCAGTTACCTTCGTATGATAGTTTGCGGGTTTTTGGTTGTCTGGCTTATATTGCTAATCGTCCTCGGATTAAGGACAAGTTTGATTCTCGGAGTCGTAAATGCATATTTTTTGGGTATCCTCACGGAAAGAAGGGGTGGCGTCTCTTTGATTTGGACACTAACGAGTTTTTTGTTAGTCGTGATGTTCAATTTTTCGAGGATAAATTCCCATATTTGGAATCGCTTCCCGATGATCGACGGTTGTTGTGGGAAAAATATTTTTCGACTCCGCCATTGTGGGATGAATTTGATGAAGTTGAGGTTGATGTAAGTATAAATGGGGCGTATATGGGGGATGAGACACCCGAAACAGCTTACCCCACAACCCGACTGCGGCAGCAGCAAACCGGCCACAACCGGGCTGTGGAGCGGTCTGCCAGCGCCCAGCCAGCGCCCGAGCCAGCAGGGGCTGACATTCCAGCTCGAGCTTCTGTTCAGCCCGCTGGAATGCCAGCGCCCGCTGGCTAGCAGCAGCGTGGCAGCGTACAGCTGCAGCCGGGCAGCAGCACGGAGCGCACTGCCAGCCACCCCCTGCCCAACGCCAGCTGCGGCAGCCTGCTCTGCCACCTGCACAGTCCTCGCAGGTGGCTGCCTTGCCGGAACAGCGTCCTACCTCGCCGGAAAAAATTCCGGCGACCTCCGGCGAGGTGGATAATCGTAATTTAAGACCGGGTGTTGTTCTAAAGCGAGCATTGGTCGATGAGGATATTTTTATTTCGCCGGAATACTTAAGGGGGAGTTCGTTGGATAATTTGGGTCGGGGTCATCGCGAAAAACGACCTCCGACGTGGCATCGGAATTATGTCACTCATACTATCATCTCTGAAAATATAGACCCCGCTACTTCAATTGTCGACCCTCCTCAATCACATTCCTCAGGTAAACCTTTCCCTATAGCTTGTCATGTTGAATACAATCGTTTTTCTATGAGACACAAGTGTTTTTTGGCGACGATAACCAAGGGAAAGGAACCGTCTTCTTTCAAAGAAGCGGTTAAAGACGTCGGTTGGCGCAAGGCAATGCAAGATGAGATTGATGCTCTAGAACGCAATGGCACATGGATCGTTGAGGACCTTCCTCCCGGCAAAAGAGCGATTGGCAGTGGTTGGGTGTACAAGATCAAGTACACCGACAAATCAAAGGTGGAACGTCTCAAGGCTCGGTTAGTTATTTATGGCAATCGACAGGTTGAAGGTGTTGATTATAATGAGACGTTCGCTCCTGTTGCTAAGATGGCTACGGTACGTATTTTATTAGTTGTTGCAGTATCTTTGAATTGGGAGTTACATCAGATGGATGTTCATAATGCTTTTCTTCATGGTGATTTGGATGAAGAAGTATACATGCAGCTTCCTCCAGGGTACGGTACTCCGACACCTGGAAAAGTTTGCAGGTTGCAGAAGTCTTTATATGGCTTGAAACAAGCCCCGAGACAGTGGTTTTCTAAGTTGTCGAGTGCTCTGCGAGGTTTTGGGTTTAAGAATTCATATGCTGATTACTCTCTTTTCAGTTATGTACAAGGAAGTGTCTCTTTGCATGTTCTTGTATATGTCGATGATTTGATTATTGCCGGCTCCTCACATGATGCCATTGTTCGATTTAAAGCTTATTTATGCAAATGCTTCTATATGAAGGATTTGGGTTTGCTAAAGTATTTCTTAGGCATCGAGGTTGCTCGGAGTCCGGAGGGCATTTTTCTTTCTCAAAGGAAGTATGCTCTAGATATTTTGACTGAGGCAGGAATGTTGGGTTGTAAACCCATTGATACTCCGATGGAGCAGAATCATCGTCTTGCTCATGCTTCCGGGGAACCGTTCGTTCATCCGGAACAATATCGTCGTTTGGTTGGTCGTTTGGTTTATTTGTCGGTCACTCGACCGGAGTTGAGTTACTCAGTGCATGTTTTGGCTCAGTTTTTGAGTGTTCCCCAGGTTTCTCATTGGGATGCGGCCATTCGTGTCTTGCGCTACCTTAAGGGTAGTCCGGGACAAGGTATTTTGTTGAGACCTACGACGGATTTACACTTGACGGCGTTTTGTGATAGTGATTGGGCGGCGTGTCCGTTGAGTCGGCGTTCCTTGTCAGGTTATTTTGTTTTCTTAGGTCGTTCTCCTGTTTCTTGGAAGACTAAGAAACAGCCTACTGTCGCCACATCCTCGTTAGAAGCCGAGTACAGGTCTATGGCTCTTACTTCTCGTGAGTTGAAATGGTTGAAAATGTTATTGTTTGTTCTTGGTGTAAAGCATTCAAAGCCTATGCAATTGTTTTGTGATAATCAGTCGGCTTTGCATATAGCTAAGAATCCAGTATTTCATGAACGTACGAAACATATTAAGGTAGATTGTCACTTTGTTCGTGATGAGTTGGTAAGCGGTAATATCTCTACCTCCTATGTTTCGACAGGTCATCAGTTGGCAGATATTTTGACCAAGGCTCTTGGACGACAACAGTTTGGTTTTCTATTACGCAAGTTGGGCATTCGTGATTTGCATGCTCCAACTTGAGGGGGAGTATTAGAGTTGGTTTGGTTTATTTGGTATATTTATGTTAATATTGTATTTATGTTAAGTTTATCTTTTTGGGAGTTTTAGGCTAATTAGGTTTCCTAATGTATTGGGTATATATATGTGATTAATATCAATACAAAGTTAAGCCGTTTTCTCCAATATTTCTTGAGTTTAACAAAAATTTCCTCTAATTTGCAACAATACTTGTGCAAAGTTATATTTCCCATGTAAATTTTGTTTCCCTATGTACTTTTATTACTTTCTCTCTCTACGTTTTTGCATACCCAATGTCAATTTATTTTTTTAATGTACTTTAACTATTCTTATTTGTGTTTATTAATTCCCGTGAAAAATGCCCATAAGGGACTATCAAAAGAGAACGGGGGATAACTACGTAACATTATACAATGTACTTTTCATACAGAGTACTTCATAACGTTATAGGAAATGATTGATAAACATCTTTTTGTGTCGTCCTGCCCTTTGTCCCTTGGTGTTAGAGGATGCTAGAGTATCCTCGCCACCAAGAGCATCCCAGGCCTAGGCCTATGTACAACGAACACGATTGGTGTTAATGTGTACTCCGTATTAACTTGCAGCTAAAATTCAATTCAAGGCATTGTTTGGCATACACCAAAGAAATTAGTTTTATAAATCAGAGCTTTTTCAGTGCGGCAAGCCACATGGTGCGGCAGGGGTTACTTGTATTCTGGGTTACTTGTTTCTGGAGTTACTTGTTGCCTTGTAGGGGTTACTTATAGGATGTTATTTGTATTATGGGGTTACTTGTATTATGGGTTACTTGTATGGATTACTTGTAGGGGTTGAGTAACACCTACAAGTAACCCAAGACCAAAACCTCGTACCAAACCAGTAACACCCTACAAGTAACCCCTGACCAAAACCAGTAACACCCATACAAGTAATCCCATAATACAAGTAACACCTACAAATAACCCATGACCAAAACCAATAATACTCATACAAGTAACCCCAGAATACAGGTAACTCCTGACAAAACCAGTAACACCCATAAAAGTAACCCCGGAATACAAGTAACACCTACAAGTAACCCCTGGAAAAACCTGTAACACCATACAACTATACAAGTAACCCCTGCCGCACCATGTGGCCAACCGCATACAAAAATTTGTGTTTATAAATTACACAAATGACTAATTGATGGATTCTTTCCAATGCATAACTTTTTAATTTCATACGGAACTATAAATGATATACTAATTTAATATACATCTTGATTGAACATCATCATGAAAAATAATGGAATGCATGGAGAGTTGTAGATTAATGGTCTAATGGAGTATTGCTTTGGTATCCCTTCTCAATTGAGCTGATATATCTATATCTATATGACCCAAAATTGAGTATACTACTAGGAATTCGAAACAATTTAACATTTTAAAGACATACACTAAATTCCATAAATGTAGTACATGATATGCTGGAACATTCAAATGCCAAAGCTAGAGAAGCATAATCAGTTGCTTTGCATACTAACCTTTTTAACATCTAAACCTATTAAGCTAGAAAAGTTAAATTTCCACCTTATGATTCCATAACCATAGTTTGTATGACTGCCCAAAATCTCTTTGCCAATCTATGCATGCTATGGCCTTGTTTGAAAAGACATACACATGGCACAATAAGGCGATTGTGGTGCTCGAGTCTAGATGCAAATTAAAGAATGGACATGAGGCACACTGTTTAAAATTAAAACAGGTTGCTTTGGTTAATGAAAGCAACCACTCAATTCTAGAAATTTCTAGTATTAACAAGGAAGTATACGGTATATTAGCTTGAAATAAATGAAGTGATCATAGGTCATCAAGTTCACGCCTTGATGCGTCTCATCAACAAACACATTGCCCAATTCAAGCCATTCTCAGTCCTTGGATAGCTACAACTTGGGCTTAAACGTGGAATCGCGCACTTTTTCAATGGTAGAACGAAACACTGGTGTGGCATGACAAATGATTAAAGATTATATAGGTAACAACGCACCACACACGCTTGAGAAAAATCCAACCACAAAAGGCAGGCAAGGAAACAATAATCAAATTCTATTACATATGACCATGAGTGAATTTATATCAGTCCATACTCAATATTATACTAATACCTCATTTTTCTCCATTTACAGCTTTACAAGATAAATTAACGCAAAAAGCTTAGGTTATTTAATTTGAGACTGAGACTTACAATAACATACATCAAGGTTTGTTGATACTTGACATAGTTGCAAACTACTGATTATGTCACATTATATTCATGATCTCATAGGAGACTCTACATAACATGATTAATTTGAGTACAACACATGCCTTCAAAACAATGGAACTGCCCTTATCATGTAGTATTTGAATTGAGCATCTCACACTCACAATATGAATTTCAACAATCACACACCAACATATAGTATTTGAACTAAAATAGACCCGAAAATGTTAAAACTACTTGGCTAGTACGCGAAGACTAACTTACTAAAAAGGAATGTTGTACATGTGATATGCTTTCATCAGTTGCTTTGCACATTTAAATCACAGAATTGCTTTTTTTTGGACATCACTTCTGCTAGACAGAAGCCATATTATTATCTTTCAGCAAAATCATCTTCTGAATACGAACTTCAATAATTATACTATCGTCCACTAGGTAGCCTTTTGAAGTATCATGTACGTCCCTGAGAGAATGAAAGTATGGGAAGCCCCAATTGTTTGAGCTTGCATAAAACCAGGTACGCGCTGCAAAAAAAAAAAAAAAAAAAAAAAAAAAAAAATTAAATTCCAGAGGACACTAGCTAATTTTTTAAAACAAGAAATAAGATGTCACGTGTTAAAACTTACAAGTTATCTCACTGTGATAGTCGTCTTTTCCATGGCGTTGATTCTTCAAGTAAAGAATAAATTCAATATACAGTTTGTTACCATGAGTTAGCCCAGAACTATTGTCTAGGAGCAGAAATAATGGGACGTTTTACCAAATTGAGCTTTAAACGGAAACTATTTACGAAAATGGTTGCGTGGCAAAACTATTTACCAAACTAAGCTTCCAGCATAAAACGCTGTCCGAGACAGCGTTTTATGCTCTGGTATTTTTTAAAAAAATATTCAGTTGGTAAAACGCTGTCTCGGACAGCGTTTTTACCTTTTGTATTTTTTTAAAAAAAATTATTAACAATTGTATGTTGAACATAAAACGCTGTCTCAGACAGCGCTTTATGTACTACATACAACGCTGTCTGAGACAACGCTTTATGTTGAACATAAAGCGCTGTCTCAGACAGCGCTTTTCTGCTGGAGACAGAAAACAACATCCTGCATGCAGGCTCCATTTCTACCCTGCAGACAGCACCCCCAGCCTTCAAACAGCCACCACCACAACCACCACCAACCCCTACCGTCCCACCACCGTCGACCACCACCTCCCGCCACTTTCGACCACCCTTACGCATTTTAAAACAGTCCAACTACTCCCCGCAACAGTACAACCACCCTCACCACCAACCCCTACCGTCCCACCACTGTCGACCACCACCTACCACCACCTTCTGGGAGTTCCGTCCACCTTAAGCACTTCAGAAAACTCCAAACACCCCAACAACAGTCCAACCACCATGAACCACCAAATTAACCACCACGGCCCTTGAATGATCTATTTTGACTAACATAAGTCCGATTTAGACAAATAAGGAACTAAACTTCAAAGCACACACGGAGTCATTCAAAAAACATTTATCATATTAATTTCATAAGTGTTATGTACATCATTCCACAAAATAACAGGCAATACAACAGATAATACTAGCCCGACTCATTTATTCGGGGTAAAGGTTCTGCCTCCTGTGTGTCAGCCCTCCGTCTGACACGTCGCCGCCTGTAATGAGTAATGGTGGTGAATGGGTCTCGGGGCGGTGGGGGAGTCAGCTGGCTGGACGAGGGGTCAATAAGGTCATATCTCGCACCTGCTCGACCTGGGCTCTAGTAGGTCCGCATTCAAGGGAGACTGACAATGCATCAACCATCGCCACCATATCCGCCGCCTGCAGTAATCATCGATCAGTCAGATCTATGGTATACAAATTTGAAAATTGATGAAAATGAGTAGAATAAAAATAACTCACATATCCGCTAATGATGTCATATGCTGGATGGTAATGTGTGGATGGTGGTGCGTAGCTGGGGTTGATGAAACGTCATGTGATACGCCTGTACCACACCATGTACGGATCGTCAGGATCCATGACGCCCTGCATCAGATCACCTCCAACGACGAACAATTTCATGAACAATTTCATCAATAATTATCAACAACTTCAACAATTTCATGAACAATTTCATCAACAATGTACCACATCACCATCAATAATTATCAACAATGTACCACACATAAAGCGCTGTCTCAGACAGCGTTGTATGTAGTACATAAAGCGCTGTCTGAGACAGCGTTTTATGTTCAACATACAATTTTTAATAATTTTTTTAAAAAAAATACAAAAGGTAAAAACGCTGTCCGAGACAGCGTTTTACCAACTGAATATTTTTTTAAAAAATACCAGAGCATAAAACGCTGTCTCGGACAGCGTTTTATGCTGGAAGCTTAGTTTGGTAAATAGTTTTGCCACGCAACCATTTTCGTAAATAGTTTCCGTTTAAAGCTCAATTTGGTAAAACGTCCGAAATAATGAGAGGCATTTACCATCATCAGCCTCTCCTCTAGGAAATAAGTTCAATTTCCTGAAATATTACAAATCAGAGTTAGTCACAATTGAGTGAATTTTTCCACTTCCTATTTAAAGTATGACTTAAATACATACCATGACCATCCATCAAAGCGAAATACAGGAGAAAACAAGTCATCATTCAAAGTCGAGAATTTCTCAATACTCCAGGTATATCTTCTGTCATCATTTTCTTCAACAATCGACATAGTAGATATCTTGAGTTGGTTGTTTATGACAAGAACTTCGGCACCAAATACACATACATCATCAACCAAATATCCATTTTCCGCATCATTGAATGTGGAAATTGGAATATATTTATGGACTCCCCATGTATCTTTCAAAGCATGGAATCGCCTCTCTCTTACATCTACATCAATATTAACATTGCAACTTATCAAGCACTCAAATATAATTACTCAATTTAACAATAGTGTGATGATAATAAAGAGTACCTAGACACCTTGCTTTCAAAGATTTAATAATTGTGATTAATGTTGTACAGGAATTACTATCTTTGTTTCACATTATTTGCAACAATTTGACATAAAGTGTGAGTGAAAAATGTCTAATAGTTGCAACTAATATGAAACAGAAACAATATAATACATTATAGTTACTACATTATATGAATATTTAATTCAGAAGAAAAAGAGTCCGAGCCTAAGACAGACAATAGGTATCCCTTAGCTGATCATAAAGGTAAAAACGAAGCACTGCATCAACAAAGCTACCAGGTTCGAGATTATCAACCAATGTCACATAAACAGAAAGGTAATCTTCAGAACGTCTTACAGACAGCACCCTGAGGCAAATATCGACAGTCAACACCACGATAATCAGGCCTACAAGTATTCAGTTAATGATAAAATCAACACGTACAACAATTATATTACGAATTGAGATATACGTACCATGTGTAGCCCCCAACGCTAAATTCCGTTGTTTAAAAGTGATGATCTTTGTTTGAACCAAATCCAATCACATCTTGAAGTTCAGAGAATGAATTGATCTTCAGAATACAATGTGATGGCGGTTTATCTGTTGTTACTCTCACAACTTCTGCAGATGACTTTACGGAACAAGAATTCATATGATATTTATACCCGAGATAAGAGAGAAAAATAATACAGAGAAAAGCAGAGTAGATGAGCAGTTTCAGTTTCAGAGGTCTGCTTCGCTTCAAAGGAAGTTGATTGACTTTACTTTCTTCCATCTTGGTTGCAGTACAACACAACTATTTCGAAATACGGAGGTATATATTATATGTTAGATTTCGCGAGAACTCTTATAGATTTAAGATATATGCGGAGTATAAAAATATATCTATGACAAATATTATCTTTTTTTAATATCTATCACACCCCGGAGTCTTATCGGAAAAAGGTTATACTTCATTGTTTGGAAAATAGTTCTTCACAATGCTCGCTTCATATGACCATGCATGTATATGTATTATCAAGTCTATTATCCTAAATTCTTCATTCTTCTTCATTACAGCTTTATAAGATACATTAACAAGGACAAATCTTTGGTTATTTAGCATTGACATTTACACTAACAAATATCAAAGTTTGTTGATACTTCGTTCTTCACATTGTTACATTGATGTCACGTAGTATTCGTGATCTCAAAGGAGAATCTCCAATTCCATACCAGGCTATGATAAATTAGTACAACACATGCCTTTATCATATCAGTTAGATAATGAGCTTCAATATGAATTCCGAAAATCATATAACAAATTTGTAATTTAACTGTATTTGACCAAAACTGTTGAAAGGCATACACCAACCTTCTAATATACAATACGAATGTGATTATATCATACGAAATGTGATTATATTACTACAAAAGTGATTATATTATCTGAAATTGTTATGTAAATGTATCACTCAAAAAGTGAATTTATCATTATAAAAAGTATCAAATAGAAAGTTACTTCATTCAAAAAAGATGATTTTTAAATTTTTATCATGCTAAAGATAATTATATAATCTCATTAAATGGTTTAATATGAGATTATATGATTCAAAATATGACTCACAAAAAGATAATTATATCATCTAAAAAAGTGATTATATCATCCACAATGTGATTATATTATTTGAAAGTGTCAAATTTTAGGTCTACAATAATTTATTGTATACCGGGTACATACAAGACCAATTGTTGCAAATTACACTAATGAACCATTTCTCATGGTATGAAGAACAAGGAAAATCGCGGAATTGTTTCTTGTTAGACATCCTTAACGCTCTCCTTACTCCTATCTAGTTGACATCAGACTCGACATCTCTCAGCAAAATCATCTTCTGAATATGAAGTTGAATAACTATAGTATTGTTTACTAAGTAGCCCTTCCAAGGATCATTTAGAACTTTGAGAGAAATAAAGCTTTTGAACCCCCAGCTTTTCGCACTTGCAGAAAACCATTGATGAACTGCAATAAAAAGAAACTAATAAATTATATATGTATGAATTAGATATTATGCCCTGAGGTAGAGCAGCAGGTAAAAATTATCATACCGAGTTCTTGGCAGTCTTGTCCTTGGCGTTGATTTTTTACGCGAAGAATATATTTAACAAACAGTTTGTTACCATGAGTTAGTTTCGAGCTATTTTCTAGATGCAGAAACAATGAGACGTATTCTCCCTTCACAGACGAGTCCCCTTTTGGACGTAAATCCAATTTCCTGGAAATATACAGTGCAATGATGGCAAATCAAAGAGTACGCTTGTGAAAATTTCTACGTTTGAAATTTGTTAGAAAGGTACTTATGTATTTTTTGCAAATAAGGACCTTTTATGTTCAAAGAGGTGAAAAATGTCCATATAAGTCAATTTTGTTGTAAGGAGGGACTTTGACGTCGAAATATGGTCGTTGATTTTACTTTTTCGGTGTTGACAATCACGCACCTGGCACGTTATATTTTAAAAAGGCCCATTCCTTCTTTTTTTTTCCACTTTTTCACTTTCTCCCTCTTTTTATCCCCATTTTTCTCTTTCTTTAAAATCTTTGAATGAAAAAAAGGGAAAAAAAAAAACACTTTTTAAACATAACGTGCATTTCACATAATGGTCAACGTCGAAAAAGTGAAGTCAGCGACCATTTTCAAATATCAAAGTCTTTTCTCACAATTAGTGAACAATATAACGACAAAATTAACAATGAATACATACCATGACCAGCCATTAAAACAAATTTCTGGAGAACATAACCGATCACTCAGTGATTGGAAGCTCTCAATTCTCCAGGTATATTTGTCACAATTTTCTCCCACAATCGACATAGTAGATATCTTAACCTGCTGGTTGTTTATGACAAGAACCTCGGCACCAAATACACAACAATCATCAACCAAAAACCCATAATCCTTTTTTTTGAATGTGGAAATCGGGAGAAATTTAGGAACTCCCCATTTATCTCTCAAAGCATGGTATCGCTTCTCTCTTACATCTACATCAAAATTAACATCACAGCTTATTAAGCTCCGTAAACAAGTACTTGGATGGAATTAATGATCAACTAGCTTAGTTAGTTAAATTATCGAGGGTTGGTTGAAACTAAAGGTAGACCGAACACATAACACCAGAAGAAGCAGAACACATAATATGAAATTTATAGTTTAGAAGAAAAAGAGTCCAAACCTAAGACTGAGAGATAGGCATCCCTTAGATGATCATAAACAAAAAATCGAAGCACCACATCGACAAAGCTACCAGGTGCAAGTTTATCAACCAATGTCACATAAACTGAGAGGTGATCTCCTTTTTCTTTCTTGTTCCCTTTAGAAAGACTAACAGACAGCACCCTGAGGCAAATATCGACAGTGGACACCACCATAATCAGGCCTAGACGTATTCAGTTAATGATAAAATCATACATGTACAACAATTGCATTCAAATTTGAGATTTACATACCATGTATAGCCCCCAACGCTAAATTCTGTTCCATTCACAGCTTGAAACATAGAGAATGAATTGATTTTCAGAATGCAATGTGCTGGCGATTTTTCTGTCATTACTCTCACAATTTCTGAAAAAGAATTTACAGTACAAGTATTTATAAGATTGTTTAAATACATACCAAGAAATTACAGATAAAAGCTAAGTAGATGAGCAGTTTCATACATACCCCCATTTTCGTCTGTAAAAAGTCTGCTTCGTTTCAATGGGAGTATATTCTCTAAGTAGCACAGCTTCATCGTGATAAGAGTTTATGTATGGAGGTATATGTTAAATTTCGTGAAAACTCTTGTTTTGAAGCATGCTAAGGTACATGTAGATTTCGGAAAAACTCTTCAAATTGGAGTGAATAATGTTAATCATAAAATATAGGATTATAAGACTTGTGTTTGATAACCTGATAAGTATACAAAATATATGAAAATATATCATACATCTACAACAAATATTATCTTATGTTTTAATAAAATCTATCACAGCCTCGTGACGTTTTGTGAAAATGTCAGCAAATCAATATCGACTAGGAATATGATATCTACTTTTATTTGGAAAATTATAATATAAAAATAAAGATAAAAAAATCGACCAACCACATATGAGTATATGACCATGCATGTATTATTATCCAAAATGCTTCATTCATCACCATTACAGCTTTATAAAATACATTAACAAGGGCAAACCTTTGGTTTACACTAACAAATTTCAAGGCTTCTTGTTGATACTTCTTCACAATATTACAAACTACTGATGTCACATAATATTTATATCTCAAAGGAGAATCTCCATACCATGATTAATCTTCTGTAAAAGACATGCCTTTAGAACAATGGAATTGCCCTTATCACATCGGGTTAGAAATAGAACATCTTTTCGGATCCTGCCCTTTAAGCCTTCATGTTTCTGGATGCTAGCCACCGAGAGCATCCCAGGCCTATGTACAAAGCGGTTGGTGTTTATATTTTAACTCATATCTAATATTCAAGGCACTGTTTGGCATACACCAAAGAAAGTTAATAAGCCTCTTAATTCCAAAAGCGGTCATTCACATGATCTTCCAAGTAGCCCCAAGCTTTGCAAAAGCCACTCATGACCGATGTCCATAAACAGCTGCTCAAAAAAGCTAGCTTCAGTGTGCCAAACATAGCCTAATTCAGTATCTTCATTTGTTGCATGTGCTAAACGCTATCCGAAATCTGAATCCCTGCGTAAGGGTAGCTTTCATGAAAAGGTTGTATTGTTTCGTAATGTCACAGGGATGCATCACCGTTAGAACCACCTCCTCTACGGCCTGCTGTTGTGTTCTTCAGTATCTGCATTTCACAATCACAAAAGCATAAGAAATCTCCATGTGAAAGAAGTTTGATCCATCTTATACTGATAAGAAAAACATAGACAGTCATTTACTGGCTTTACATCCAAAAAACAGGATAAAGATAATCTGATTGTTCTCATTTGTCTTTACCCCATAAAACACTGGGTAGCATGTCTTTACCCCAAAAAGCGAGAAATTTTATCACAGTTTGCTCTTTATAGCTATATAAATATGCGTACTAATGACCAGCAAGTTCAGATAACATAAACTTAATCACGAGGAATTGTAGGAAGAGCTCAAGTGCTACTAAGGAGAAATTACAAGTCTATCAGTTATCAAATGGAAAAAGTGTAAATAAATCAACTTTTTATTAAAAACAGGCCCCCATGAGTTAATAATATTACAATTTTGCCACTTAACTGGAGCTTCCTCGCTGCTAAGTTCGAATAATGGTTTTAAGATGACAAAAGAACGGTTAAATGACTCATATTCTCAATATTCATAATCTTCATCAGTGATAAGCTATATACAGTTATATCAAGGCCATATAAATCTCATATATTCAATGTATCCTTGCAAATGAGTGAAAAAATGACATTAATCTCTTACACAGTCCTCAATAAAAACAGTTAACCGCATCAGTGTTTGGATGATTTACAAATATAGTTTACACATGAAAAGCTTTACTATTGAGGTGAGAATAACTGAAATCACAGTAGTTTAAAATTTGGGAAGAATTGTATCAAATGCCACATGTGCACACAGCTAAGGCCTTGCTCTCTTTAAATTATTTTGACTTACTTCAGGCAAATTGTACACAGATAAATTCAAAAGTATAAGTTTAAATAAGTTTTCTAACACAATCACATGTTTAGCTAATTTCAGATGAATCAGATCAATAAGTTAATTTTAGACAGAACAAGTCAAATATAATAGTCCCTAATGTGCACAAACCTTCCATTATAGCTCATACTTGCCTTTGTATGTCACTAACTTATATTATTAGTTGCTAATTTGTGTGTATTAGCATATAGACGTGGACAGCTACTCAGTAAATCCTGGTTCATGATCATTTGCATTATCCTGATTCATGATCATTTACATTAGCATATAGACATGGAAAGCTACTATATCCTGGTTCATGATCATGCACTGCCAAAGTGCAAAGGATTTCCAAAGACCATCCCTCCACCCCCACGGTCCCACCACAAGCAGAACAAAGAAAGCAAATTGCACAAGCCAACCCAACATGTTATTTCATTGAATCCATGTGATGTATCTATACAATAATGGCAGCATATATTTATACAATAATGGCAGCCAAAGCTAAAATAGATGATAATGGAGATAGTGGCAGTGGGCCCCGTAAAAATGAAGATCACATATCAGGAATGACATCCCTAAATGTTAAAAATGGGCCTCTTGTCTTAATTTATCAACCCTACAGGAGCATTCAGCTCAATGGACCATTTCATATATCCTTGACATATGTAACTATGCAAGGGTGTTTTGAGATTATCCCGATTTGTTTGACTCTATTAGGAGTTAATGAGTATTATCTAGTCTCCGAGACAGGTTAGGTTCCACTCCATGGCCCAATGCAAGTTACCGGTCCTTACCATTCTCAACCTGACGCTAAATGCCAAAACTATCACTAGTAATAAAGATATATGGCGTAGGTGTGTAACCATATAACATCAATATCACATATATTCTTTGGGGGGGGGGGGGGGTAATGAGATGATGCAGACATATTCTGTTAGATGACAATAACTGCAAATATGCAACTTTCAGATTGTGATAGCGACTCACCCTATTTCGAAACACAAGTTCAAAAGCTATCATTTACACACATTACGTAAGTGACCGATAAAGGCAATACTTTTGCATCATAATTTAGCCCTAGCAATTAATACTACATTGATATTAAACACGACAAGTCTTATGACAGCAAAAGGCGATTTAAAAGTAATACGGTGTGACAATAAGTTTAAACACGATATTAGCCAAAAAAAAAAAAAAAATGTATTGCAAGTAATCAAACTTACATGTCTAAGCATCTGATTCTCATTTTGCAAAGTAGATAATCTCTCTTCCAACTCAGAGTTTTTGTTCTCCAAATCTTTAACCCTTGTTTCTAAATCACTCAAATATGCCTTCTTTCTTTCTCTTGCTTGCTGAGCTGAAACTCTATTCCTCAACAACCTGCCCATATCAAATAAACCACCACTTTTAATCCCCTAATCCTAAACAGTAAAAATATCAATCAACCTCATATTTTTACCACTGAAATTTCCAAAATGCCATACTTTCACCAAATTGATTAACAATTTAAGTATGTAAAAAAACTAAAAACTGTAACATTAGTTTTACCTCTTCAAACGTTTGCTTTCTTTGTCAGCAGGGCTTCTACCCCTCTTCCTTTGGCTCTGTCCTGATGCTTGAACCCGGTCTGGACCGGCCGCAGAACTGGTGTCGCGGCCGGAAGCCGAATTTACTCCTGGTTCACCTCCCATCTCTGGTACTCTCCGGATTTCGTCATCACTCTCCATACCTTACATCAAAACAAACACCAAAACAGTGAAAATTTAGAACTCCTAAATTTTTTATTTTTTTACAAAAAAAGCTCCAATTCCCAATATACTATAGCCTTTGCCCTGGAAATTCTAATCAATCCAATTGAGAAGTTCCCAAAACTTCTTCAATTTTCTACTTAATAAACTTCATATTCTTAATACTCACTCATTTTATATATTATTTGATTATGTTCCAATTTAAAATGTCAATAAAAATCAACGAAATCACATATGTTAAAACCATAAATTTCTTCAATTCCACACTAAATTAATAAGAAAATTCACAACTTTATCCAAAAAGTTTCCACCTTGGACCATTCAAACAAAGAATTCAATCAAACATGTAGCAATAAACAACCAAGACATGTGATCCAATACCGTCTACACTATTACCCTTTACTGTTCTTCCACAAAAAAAAAATTAATTAAAAAAAATTCACACCTAAAACAACCGCTAAATCACCTCTATTTTAAATTTCTCAATTGAATAAAATATAACTTATTCAAATTCACATCAAATTTCATCAACCAAAATCAATTGGGTAGTTATTTCCCCTCTACCCAAAATCTCAAATTTTTTGAAATTCCCAAATAAAATAAACTTGAATTTCACCAAATAAATCAAATGGGCATTCAAATATATTAAAAAAAAATTACATTCTAATGCAAACAAAAACTGAAAATCAAAAATTAAAACTTAAAATTGAAATTAAAAAAAAAATTAATAAAAGTTACCTTCTTTATGATCAAGTTGAAGGGCAGAACCAGAAGATCTCTCACTACTAGAAGGCAAAGAATTAGCAGCAGCAGAAGTAGCACTTGTAGTAGCCTGTTCTTGCATATTTTCCAACTTTTTTAATAGCACAAATTTATTAATAATTCTAATTTTAATTATAATAAAATGATGTAATTAAATTAAATTAAATTAATAATATAATAAAAAGTGTTTTTGTTTTCCTCTGATTTTCCTTCTTCTTTCTTGACTTCTCTGTATTTTTTGGGGAGAGAAAAGGCGGGATATTTCCAGAGTTTACTCAAAAGAGTAATAACATTTGGGAAGATGGAGTAGAGAGTGAATCTGAGCCGTTGGATGAGGTTGTTCTTGATCAACGGTGAATAATGAAGGATCGTGGAGGTTAAATAGCCATACACACATTTAAGTAATCAAAGGTTTGGAGAAGAGATCGTGGATGTTTTAGAACCGTTGGATTTGGAGAGAGGAGGGAGGAAATCAAGGGTTGCGATTGATTTGTTGATATTATTAATAATATGGGATGATTTTCTGACGTGGACATGTGCTGGTTGAAAAAGGGTATGGAGCCATGGAGGACAGAATACAAATTGATTTTGGGTTTTTTTGGGACAAATAGTTTGAGAAATTACAAAAGTAACCTTATTAAATTGTGATGAATTTGGTTGGTAAATGTTGAGGGACAAGGGCAATCTTATTGGAACTTTATTCCTAGATGATGACAATAACTGGACATACCATGAGTGATGAGTCCATGAGCATGAAACATGAGAATTTGGGAAAGTGGGGCATAGATGAAGGGTTCTGGTCTTCTGGACGTAAACTCCCCACGGGTCAAACCGACCCGGTTTAGCAAGCTAGATAATTTAGAAGAGTGGGGGAAAGGTAAGGGAATCTCATCCCCAAATTTTCACTAATGGGATTAAACTTTAAAAGATGTTTTCCTTTCTACTAAACCAAGCTTGGCTTATTAATCTTTTACGAAGCATTAAAAGAGGACATATTGTATGTTGTTGTTGCATTGCTGGAGTGTTTATCCAAATTTGTAAGATAATTGACTTGTTATAATCAAATGGTTAAAAAGGTTCTAAGGGTGCCAATTAGGAATGTTGTTAATTTGGACAATTAATATTGCTCAAACGTATTCGTGCTAACGTATGGGATATATGTATATGCTGATATGCACGCTTAAAAAAATTAAATAGTAAAGACATAATACAATTAAGTCTTAAGAATTAAGATGTATACAATTGGCCTAACATACTATGCCCACCTAATTCTCTACCGACTACCTTAGAACCTTAGAGGTACTCACGGATTAAACCAACCTAGATAGGAAATGGGCCAAGGTCATATGATTAAACATTTTAAGTTATCATCGACTTCCATTTCTTCATGTTCTTAGTAATCTGGAAACCTTAAAATTGCAAAGTATTCTTATTTCAAGAAGCGTTAATAATATTATGCTTAGACAACTTAAAAGATCTCGAAAATACTCTATTTTACTCTCATTTCTAGTTCAAATTATGTATCAGTTGGACTCTTCACAACCATTGTACCATTTCAAACCAGTACCCGATTGTGAAGCAACAACAAATCGGGAAGTAGAGATTTATAATTATACTCGTATCTAACTGCAACATTGACAGGATAGGGAGCCATGAATCAAGCGTTACAAACCCTGTAATAGGTTCAGCCTGTAGTACAAGTATTAATCACCAAGTAACACATACAGATATCATGTTCACATATCAGTTCTTCCTGCATTTGGTCTGATCTCAATAAGCAAACTGGAGAGTGCCTCCCATGGCACATCTGATCAAGCTAACTTGGCCACTCTCCCAAAGTTGCAGGAGAACTGAGTGCATAGCTCACACTCTAAAAAAGGGACTTGCTCCCCCACATCAGTATTGTGGCTCAGCCGCTCAGGTCCATATGAATAGTGTTCAATCTGTAACAAGCATTATAAACAACCGTGATATCAATTTTTTTTTCAAGGCAGACAAAAACGCCAATATTAAAGGATATACTTCGTATGTTGTAGCAGGAGGTCTGTTTGGTGTTAAGGTCATCATTACAGTATCAATTCATTTAGATCTCAACTCAGCCTGATATATTCAATAAACATTAAGATTAGAACAAAAACAGCATGACATATTACCTGTCAGAAACAAAACCTCCATTGCAGTTTCTTTAACATGCTATGCATCTTCATCAACAAGAATGATTGATTCATTTCCAACTCCAACATCAAGCAAGGAATCCATTTCATTATCAAGAAGTATTGGTAATGGTGATCCCTGCAAGGGAACACAAGCACGTGGTAAGAAATTTAATTTTCAACAACTAGATGGTGGATAAAAATAATCGCTAGCTACTAGCCAAGTTAAAGGAATTAGTGCAATTATTTCATTTCAGATCATACATCACAAGTTATGGACTAATATGCAGCAACTAAATGTGATGAGATTCAGCTAAAAAATACTTAGGTGTCTTAAAAGTCTTTTCTCTCGATCACTTACATTAACAACATAGCTCATTGGAAAGTGTCATTATACTAGTCTATGTGAATTTGCCTTAGTCTAATCTTACAAATATTCACATGTTACATACAACAATATCAATCACATGACCGCTCAATATGGATCCTGCAGCTGGCAGGTTCAGGTGAATATAAGATGTATGCTAACATGCGTCATGATGCAAAACTAGTACAATTACATTGGTACATAGATAAGCTATCTACAATTTTTAAAGAGGTACTTTTCAAACTTAAGCAGATTACATCTATCAACAACCAAAAAGAAACAAATAGGGCATCACTTAACCCTCTACATTCTATCCAAGGGAATAATTTTTCAATTTTTAAAATTTTAAAGTTTAACATTGCTATCAAATGCACAATATCTGTGAGCCAAAAGCGTATAGAGCTTGAAGACCACTTAGTACCTCTTCTTGCAAAAACAGCTTTAACTTGATGGATTTCAACTTGAAGAATGTCTCACAAAGAATTTTCAGCTTGCCAACCTTGCAAGAGCAAAACAAATGAGAAGTTATGTCAAATGTCAATGTAACCTATAGAAAGAACCTAAACAAAGAGAATGGTAATCCTCTGTACGGCTGTATGCTACAACTGAAATCCAACACATGGATCCTGCATTCAACTCTTTGACAAGGAGAAAGTGGAAGGCCACCAATTCATCAAAAAAATAAAGATGAAACAAATTACAGTAGTTGTAGCTGGCAACTTTTTAGTCAACAGTGGCTTCTCTCCCATTGATGCCCCAACACACTTCAGAGTGATAGCTGCCAAGTTGAGATGTGTATAAGTGACAAGAAAGACATCTAAATAGCATACTTCAAAATAACAGATCACAAGTTCGTATACATACTAAGAAGTCCAGAGCTCATTTTTTGAGGTCCTTTTGCTCCATTTGATGGCCTTTCATCTTCTAAACCATGCAAACGTTTGAGTTCATGAAAGCTGTAATATATAATAAAAGAAGTTTTATCAGATTATACATCCAAAGCTATTGTTCTCATAACAGCATATCTCAATTTTACAAACATACATGATGGATTAGAGAGCACAATATCAAAGCAACCAGGAGTCAAGCAACGACAACAAAAAAATACAACAAAAGTTGCTCCTTTCACTATGATAATGAGTAAAACAAGCCACTGCACACTTTGTTTTTCTCATTATCATAGTGAAAGGAGCAACTTTGCAAATAGAAGCAAAAGGAGAGGATTAAAGTATTAAAAAAGAAACTACTAGACCAAGAGATGGAAGTATTCTAAGAAGCAGTGGCCAAAAGGGAAATATTCAAACAAAGGAACAAATGTTAAACCTCCAAATCTTGAAAGGCATAATCTAGCAGATCATGGAAGAAAATAGACTGACTCATGCAATCAGAAATTCACAAATTTGTTCATTTTCTTACTGTTTGGCCAACAGAGTTACTATCCAGGCTTTCATGTGTAAACCTCTGGTGTTGTGGCCATAGTGGAATGATAGTATAATCCACAATAGCCGCACAGAGAGTGTGCTTTAAGACAGAGCTTCATCCTGTCAAGAATGTAATGATATGTATTCCGATTGAAATATCTTTTGTGATTTTGTAAAAACATTATCACAAGATGCATAGTAGTATGAACTATGAAGGCATTGTTTATCCACTAGCCCAAATGAGAAAACACCCTCTTGGTCTCTTATTACCAACTTAACATTTCATCTCAAAAAAGATGTCTCCATAGACTTTTGACATAGTTGAAAATTAACTTATCTTTTTGATGTATTATGCCAATGTTGGAATTTATTGGATCATGTTTCAGTTCAATCATTATTCTAGGAAAACGGCAAGGGTTGTATGAGAAGTTGACCAAAATAAGCAATCACTTTAATCTATCGGCTCTTAGCTAAGTGGGCATGTTACGAGGACATTTCAAAGAGGAATAGTAGGCATTCTGTGGGATCACGCAGCACACATTAACTTGTTAGTTTATGAAAAAAAAATTGGGCATGGACCTTCCATGGTCCTCTCAAATGTAAATTAATTCTCAAGTACTTTGAGCATAAGATAAATATAGAATAAACATATTCCATAGGATGCACCACTAGAATAACATGACCATGGTGGATGTATGGTACTCTTTATTTACAGTGGCCAGCAGGCCCATCACCTGTACCGTCCATCCTTGGACTAATCAGTTACAAATATTGGTCAACAAATTATCAAAGCTTCAAAAGATTTGAACAAAACAAAAATTACCGGGGGTGGGAACGCTTAATTTCCTCTTGATTATCATGCAGCTTTGACATAACTAAGCGTACATACCTGCAAGAAAGATGACGACTCTCATATATCAGCAGGAAAAGTCAATCGTATGCAGAAAGAGTCTTGGCTTAAACAGCTCTGTATTTTGCAAGATTCTCAAGATATATACTATCTGGAAGCATGACATTCATTACAGTTATCATACTTTTGTTGATATAATTTTTCTAGGAATCATTTTCATACAAAAGAGAGAAATTACAAATGTAAAAAAATTTAGTACATGACTAACAGTCCTTTAACAATGCATCCTGTGGATGATAATTTAATTCAGCTAAATCATACACCATGCTGATAATGGAATTTTCCGTTGGGTAGCACTAAACAGACAACAAAAGCAAGCACATTTATTCCCTAGTAGGAGCAAGAATTTGAGTACTGCTAGCCAAAAGTGGCAAAACAAGTACAGGCTGTAATGGAAAACACTCTTACTAACAAAAAACATGTGCTCTGTATTTGGATTCACAATGAAAGCTATGCAATTTTTTGGAGCAATAAAATGTATCCAAACCAGATGTGTTTAGCTATACAAAAGCCTCAAAAGAAAACCGGGGGAAAAAAAAAGGAACTTGAAACTTGACAAGGGATTAATAATCCATTGGTTTCTTTCTTCTTAAGCGGACCACCACAATGGCAACCTTTCTTCATCCATATTTTTATGCTTCAAGAACATCTTTAAGTAACAAGGTCAGACACACTTCATCCTTAAAAAGGGCTAAAAGGCTATGCCAAGGGCAGAAGAGTAAGAAGATGATGAACAAAAAGTACCTCCTTAAGACATAAACTACAATGACTTGCAATGAAACTCATCTCAGACGTGCACAACTATATGTCTATATGCATCATACTATCTCGACGACATACTTAGACTTCATATTAATATTCTTCTTTCTTTTGGTCACAAAGAACTCAGAATCACAATAATTTCCTAGCCCTGAAACACCCTTGTCCTTACTTCTTTATATTAACTAAAACAAGCTCAACTTTTAAGTTAATTTACCTCAATAATCTGCTCTTATGATTATACTCCTGTTAATACATTCTAGGAAATTTTGACTTTTGCTACCTGTTAAAAACGCGATTTCACTTTTGCTACCTATCAAAACTTTTATTTTATTTTACTACCTAACACATGCCCTTTTTTTAACTTTTGCTACCAGTTAACGTTTTCAGTTAATAATGCCGTTAGTGAGATCCAACCACCCTCATGACCACCTTCCGACCACCACTACCTCTTCAGCCACCCTAAATGCCTCCTCATCAGCCACCAAAATAAAAAAATAAAAATAATTTAAAAACCAGCCACCAAGCCCACCCCTCCCGTAATCCCTGGCCGGCGCTGGCGAACCCAACCCCCCCTTCCCCACCAACGCAGCCCCCTCCCTTCCCCCACCATCGCAGCCCCCTCCCTTAGCCCACCATCGCAGGCTCGCAGCCCCTGCCTTCCCCCACCACCTCACGCCAGCAACAGGGAAGCAACAATTCCTCCCTTAACCAACCAAGCAGCCCAATTCGCGACCTAACCCAGCTCTGCTAACGTCACAATCGACCACCAATTCGCCACAATCGACCAGCCACCACAGATTTCCCCAAGAAATGGTTTGCCTCCTTCTCAATCTAGGGTTTCTTCTTCAATCAATCATGAATTCTGGGTTTGCGATTGCGATTGTAAGTTTTTATTTGGCGATTGTGGTTTCTGTTTGGCGATCGTGGCTTCGATTGTTGTTGACTGAAGAACCGAGCTCGAAACCGGAGTGGCGATTGTGGGTTCGCCGGAGAAACGCCGAGAGGGCAGAGGAGAGAGATTGGTGTGTGGCGATTGTGGTTTTGGTGTGGTGATTAGGGTCGGGGCAACAAGAAGGGGAAAAGGGAGGGGGTTGGGTTGCAATGGCGGGGAAAGGGTGTAAAAGAGGGTCGCCGGCGCCGGCCGCAGCTTTGGGTGCCGGTCGCCGGCAGGGGGGAGGGGGAAGGTGGCTGACGAGAGGGCTGGGCATTTGGGTTTTTTTTATTTTTTATTTTTTTTAATTTTTTAATTTTAATTTTAATTTTATTATTATTTATTTATTTTTAAAATAAACTTAACGGAATTATTAACTGATTCCGTTAACTGGTAGCAAAAGTTAAAAAAAAGGGCATATGTTAGGTAGTAAAATAAAATAAAAGTTTTGATAGGTAGCAAAACTGAAATTGATAGGTAGCAAAAGTCAAAATTTCCTACATTCTATCTCAACTACTAACCTACCTGAAATCTTCCTCCTTTGAAGTCTTTATAACTATTGTTAAATTGAGATTGCCAAAGAAAACAATCAAACCCTTTTTAAGAGCAGGGAAGGTTTTTTTTGTTTTATTGATCTTTTTTTTTTTAATACCATAAAAATTCTTGCCACTTCGGAAAATCGATACTGGTTAAGAGTTTCCCAATTGGTTATTATTTCCTCAAACCATAAGAATTTGACCAAAATTATTTTTATTCCAACATAGCTTAAAATAATGACCAACAAAATATGATGTTCTTCAAAGTACCAGTTACACCACAAATGAAATTATGTAACAATAATGTTTAAATAGCAAGTTAGCCTTCAGAGAATCATAATTCCATGTAGAAGTAATAATATCATAGAAAAGCAAATTAGATAAAAGAGCATATCAAGCAAAAACGTCTTAATATGAGCGACAATCATAGTATGCACACCAATGAATCAATGAGTGAAAGTAATTTGGGAATATTTACCGGATCTCAGACTCTTTTCTTTCACGATAGCTCACCTGCCATGATTAAAAATATAAAGTACTCATCTAATCTTAAACTCATTCTGCATGAAAAAAATTATCTAATAGACGAGAAATTTTTGAAACTCACCTCACTTCCATTTAGTACTTCAACTTTTGCTAATCGGGCAATCAGAGCAAACCTGGGTATTCCACCTCGTCCTGGATCAGCAATGGGATTCTCAGAGAGCCTAACATCCTACATAAATCCATACATAAACAAAGACTTATTACAACTTACAGGAACAGTATAGTGTGCTTAAAGGAAAGAATGTCAATATATTCATTTACTCTCGAGTCCTTAAAGCAGCAATGCTTTCAACTACAAATAATTTTCTTACAAAGTTCAGAGTCAACCTCCACAATTTGATGTCAACCATATAAAAGCAAAGGCAATAAGATTACAAAAATTTCAGCCTTTTTTCATTGATAATTTAGTCCCGAACTAAGAAAACTGGATGTCAAAATAATAACTGGTAACTTAACTTGTAAGTAGGAACATGATATAAACAAGGCTATGTCAAATTGACAACCCCTAAACACAACAAACGGCACAGTGCAATGACTTCTTGAACCCTGCTAAGCCCCCCATGAGTCCATGACCACTGAAAGAGAACACTATACAGAAGAAAACAACATTATCTAGAAGGATCACATGATAGTTTAATGTTCGATAATGGCAACCACAAGCATGTCGCTACTCCTCGCCAAACTTTAAATACTTTGAATAATTTGAGAAACTGTGTCTGAACATGAGCATTGAGGGTCAGGAAGGGATTGAAAGACGTAGCAAGTCGCACAAGAGGTACATTCCATGATTGTGCAACACCAATAACTCATCAGTTGTTCTAGGGATTCTTGCAGGTCCTAATATCAAATTGTTTTGATTAATTCAGGATAAAAGCGACTTCTTCCATCACAAGTCACAACCTTATTTTACTTTTCTGCTTTTTCACCACCTTCAGAAAATACTTGACTGAGTGTTATGTCAGGATCTTCATGTCCATCTATTCCTCAATCAAGTCAATCCTCTGTTGTGATGCTGGATCTTGAAATTGACGGTTAAATGCTTAAATCTTAGGTGAGTTTCACTATCTTCCTGTATGTTTTAGTGGTAATCATCATAGTCACTATGGTGCTCTAATAGAGTCTATACTACTCAGCAATTTTGGAGAAAATAATGGTATCTTGTTAGAATTTATGATTGTGATATGGTATCATATGCAGTCTGATATGGTAATCCAGCCTATCAATCCAGAAAATTTACCCTTGTTCATAATATCAGCAAGCATGTAATGGAAACATGTGCATCTAAAGATCAGATAAATTCAACAAATCCAGCTGTGAAGAATCTAGCATAAGCAATTTGAATGAAGTCATCATTTAACATACGATTGACAAATAGCAGCCTGTGTATTTATTCATAGAAAGTAGAACCATCTTGTGCCACATACTGCTTCATGTTCAACCTATACATAATTCAATCCCATCAATTGAGCTTTGATATCTAAACTTCTCCTAACTATATCTTGAAAAGTGAGAGATATTAAAAAGGAATGCTAGACAAACATGAATGCAGCAATAACGCTCCCTACCTCCATGGCAAAGCAAACTATACCTTCTTTCAACCATTCAATCTCCTTGAAAGTTGTGAGATAAAAAGCTCTCAAAAGGCCTCCGACTCTCCGAGTGTGGATTCATGGATTGCCTCCTAGAGGAAAACCCAAAAAACTAAAAAGCCAATTCTGGATCTCATACCCCACCACAGTAGAAACCCCCAAGAACATCCCGGATAAGTTAAATTCCTTCTAAACTACAACTTGAAAGGTTTTTGCTAGCTAAGATCAGAGAATATAAACTAAAGAAGAGGACAAAGCACCTAAAACTTCTAAATACAGCACACTTTCTTAAAATTTTGTCTCAAACCTCTAAGTGGCAAGCATGTTTGACGAAACAACTTTTGATATGTCCTAGAGACAACTTATCTTTCTTGCTATACAGGAACAGTCAATAATGGAAACAAGCTATGTCTAACAAACAAACCCTCAATCACAAAGCATGCAGTACTCTATAGGTAGAATATAAAAGATTGACAAAAACCCACTCTTAGGATTTCTATCAAAGTCAAAATTTCAATACATTACCTCTCAACTAGCACATCAAAAAATGACATCGTGACAAATAGAGGCCAAAATAACTCCAGCAACAGGGACTTCAAACAGATCCAAAGTCTAATTCCTACAAGGATGGGGTAGGCTACATAACCCAAGGATCTATCTCCTGTGAATCATACACGATGATCATCCATCTTGCACCAAATGCTCTTGCAAACCCATTCTTTTCATGTCATTTCAACTACCTTGTCCAAGTCATCTTACGACTCCCTCCACAGCCCAAAAATCCTCCAAAAACTGACTTTTATGCACATCAAACTATGTCTGGCCATTGGAAACAATAGACTAAATCTAGGATACAAATTTTCATGGACTAGAAAAGAAGTCTGAAACCTTACAAGCAAAAAGAGTCTTGCTCAAAAGAGAATCACCATGACAACTTCCCTACTAAAGAGATGTTTTTAGAACAAAGATTCACAAGAGCCAGGCCTTACTCCTGGTAAGGTATGCAAATGTGGAGACTTGAGACTAGATAACACAGCAAACAAGAGAGGCAAGCAAATTAAGAGGAAAAAGTTCCAAATTGATCTATGAGACTTGCCTAGACTAATCCTCAACCCTGGAAAAATATAGAATACTTGCATGGTAGTAAAAAGCATTCTTGCCCCTGATCACATCAACCAAAAGGAAAAATGTAGTATTATACTATTATCCACAAATTAGAGATAGTGGAAAAAAGGATACCATCCCATGTACCCTTAAGGCCTAATGCCCTTGACATAACCCAAAGCCTTCTCTTATAAGAAAATGTCAAGCTATCAACAACCAAAGTGAAGAGGACAAGGAAGCACCTTGTCACATACCCCTGGAAGTCCCTATTTGTTGCTTAATGTTATTATTTGGATTTCTAGTGATAAAACATGCAATTATTAATCACATAAAAGAACTATTCATATCTAGTTTACACATCTATTTTAAAATAGTTTTACAAAGTTCTATCAATTTATATAAAGGCAAGTCATGCCACAGTATTTCCATAGCATGTCCTGATTCTTAATGATTACGATTACAGAGTAATTTTACGGTTTTACCTCTCTCTATACGTTCTCTTCTACCCTGTTAGCATGCAATAGTGGAGTAAAGTCAAACTAAGCATGAGAAATGGTCGAATGGGGGACATGAGCAAGAGACTCATGTCCCCAAAGCTCCTACCTTTCCTAAAATCCAGTTTTCTGGCCTTTCTTGAGGATTCTAATCAGTATAACATGCACATTATTGCCTGAGAAGATGATCAAACCCACTAAAGACACAGATTTCACAGTCACAACAATAAACAAACTTCAAGGACCAACATTATAAATATAATCATTCATAAGTAATAGCATGTATCACCACACTTCAGCACCATATGCTACACAATACTATTATTATAACTGATCACCATAAGCGTGTAACAAATTAGTAAAGGTACAAGGACATACTGTTAGGCTTGGGAAAGAATTTATTGAATCTACAGAATCTAGATCTGAAATGCAGTTAGCACCTGCAAGATACAAAAAAGCAACACCATATAGTTCAGTTTATATGAAAGTGAAATTCAACATAGACAAATATTCTACAGAATTGATCACAAATTACCTAAGAGAAGGCAACGCAAATTTTGAAAGGCTTCAATGTGGGTGGATTTATCCATAGAGTTGGTAAATGGGTAAAATACTTTGCTTATGTTATTCTTGCTTAAATGAAGCTGCTCTAAACTGGAACAAAAAAAAATGCATTTACTTCAGATCTAGTCCTCTTGGACATATAGCACGTAAGAAACAAGCTTCCAGCTCCAGATACTGCAGCAGACCTATCTATTCCCTCTCATTCCCCTTCATTTTATAGCAAACAAAAAAGCATACATATAACTTGAAAGCAAAATGTTATCCACCATTGAGTTCATGGAGTATATTAATACCTAGTTAGCTCTGATAACTTCAAAACCTCACCCCACTCAGATATACAATTTTCTTCCAAATTCAATATGCGCAGAGAACCAAAACTTTGAGCAGTGGCTGACGTGGGCTGCAAAGAACATATAAAAATGTAACTTTAGACAGAGACAAACTTGAAAATGTACACCCAGCCAGCTGAAAGTTAATTAAAAAAATTAAGTAAGCTGTTAAATCAATGTCTACATCAAAGATAAGACTCGTAGAAGTATTATTAATTCAGCTAAAGCACCACATGATAATTAGCACAGGCATCCAATCCCAGATTTTAAGAACTAACCTTGGAGCTGAAATTCTTTTCTTCTTTTTTTTTTTTTTTTTTTTTTTGTGGGGGGTTACCAAAAAAGCTCCACTTAAGTTTCCACTCATTTCCAAACTAGCTTAATGGACAAATGACCCTTTTTCTTCATAGATAAACAATTATAATCAGACAGGAAAATAAAAGCAACAAGAAAATCTTGTGCAATATTAAAGTTTCCACTACTTATAGGCAAAGAGATATGCAACCCAAAGGTATCTCATCTTTCAAGAATATGAAAATTAATCATTAAATCAGCTTAAGGACGAGGACTCCACCAGCATGAATATGTCAGACAATATACCCCGACCATGTTGAAAATATCCATTTTTTCTCGTTTCTTTGTGCACAGTCTTTAGTTTCCAACACTAGTTCTACTTTTGGGAAAGCATTTAGATTAAAAGAAGCTTTTGCTTATTTGCTTTTATTTATGGTTCCCAGTAATTGTCAGGAAAGAGGAAATAGCACATTTCTTTTGATTAAATGATCCTTAGAGCTGCAGAGGAAGGAGGAGGAAATCTACATCCAACAGGACTCACAGTATCACAAGGAGACAATATAAAGAAAAAAAAATAAAGCAAACAATAATGCAGAAGCATCAACGGCATACCTTAATTTCACTGATTTTATTCCCCATCAGATGTAATTCTTCTATAGATGGTAAGAATTCTTTGAGCAACTCAACCTGTGGAAGTGAAAACAAAAATTCTCAGATACAGTTGACAGATGCAAAACTGTAAAAAAGACATATATATATATGTACACACACACACACACACACGCACGCAATAAATCAGGATCCATATTATGTCACTAATACAGTAATAGTAATACATGCACCCCTCACTCATCAGTCTTGTAATTAATGAAAGGTCACTCCTAGGTTAAACCCCACAAAAGATGGTCTAGACAAAAGAGCGCACCTGTGTCCATTTTATACCACTATAATTCAGCACCAAAACACGGATGTTTCTTAGCATCGGTAGGCATGTCACATCCTGCGACATCATATTGTTTGACAAATTTAATGCTGAAAGAAGTGGTAGCTCTTGACAGACAGCGGCAATATCCTGAAAAATAACAGATTGACCAGCATTGGTTTATTGTACTTCACAAAGCATTAAACCTAAAAAAAATCACAGAATCAATGAGCATAGTTTTGGATATATATTCATGTTACACAACAATAGAATCTCCTGTTCTGCATTAATATTGGACCATTAACCATTTAGTTAAGAATAAAGGAACATATATAAAATTAAAAGAATTGATCATTGCAAAAATTTCTACTGAAAGAAATAGAAATTTGCTATAGCTACAAAGCTAAGCATGCCAAGGCATTATGTCCTTTTTTATAGGTGATACACATAAACAATATATAGACCCTCTGTTCCAAATTAGTCACCACAAATGTTTTTAAAGGTCAAAATTTATAAACTTCGACCATAGTCCATATATTTTCAGCTATACATGGAAAACAGTCATGGGGTATCTAATTGGATTCATCTCAATGTGTATATTCAAATTATGTATTTTCTCTCGATATGAATGTACAGTCATATAGATATCAATGGTCCAAATAGTGGCTTAGAAAATCGTTTGAGGCAACTAACTTGGGACGCGCGGGGGGGGGGGGGTGTGGGGGAGTGGGGGATGGGGGTGGTTAGATTTAATAGATTGATAAGTCACATTTCCCACCCATATGGCCACCGATTTGAAATGATGTGGCTATAACCTAAAGCTTCCTAGTAACTTCAACTCAATGACAGGTATATTATGGTCTGTGAGATTCTTAAGTTATGAAAAACTGACCTTCCAGTCTGAAAGCAGGTTTCCAGTTAAATCAAGCTCCTTCAGGTCTGTACAAAAACAAAGAAGTATCAAGAAGAAATTCTAGATATAGATTCCTTCAATAGGTAATACTCTGTATAAAATTGAGTTATTCAAACATTATGGACTGAACTTTCATGAGTGAGTAATAACCCACTTTCAGCATCCAGGGCATGACAGATCAACACTCAAAGAAACTAATGAAACTTTTTAAAAATAACGTGTATTAATCATCCTACACATGCGTGCTGCATTACACTCTACTTTCAACTGTCCTCAACAACAGCCACACAGACCAAAATTGAGGCAAATCCATATTATATTAAATTTATTTTATTAATTTTGCAGAGTGCTGCATTATACACTACTTAAGCGTTTACCACTTTGCCAATTCAATTTTCTAACGTCTAGCGCACTGTATAGCAACATTCTCACCTTCTTCCCATCTCTGTAGCATTATACATTTCCTAAGATTATTATTTTTCAATCTGAATTTCTTTAGTATTTTAATACAGAATATCATTTCACATTTTCACCTATCGCATTCATATAACCATAAAAGGAATAGCACTTCTTTTGCATGGCATCCAAGACTTCATGTGAAAGAAGAAAATACGATGAAAGGAGAAATTGTAGAAATAACTAAAATGAACAAGAAGAGTCCATACAGATCTATTCAGATTATAATCTTTATACTACGTTTCATTTCTGACTAGTAATCTACTAACTACTTCTAAAAATTTGCTCTAACAAAGGCACACAAGCATATTCAGCATTTTTCAGGCCACAAAAAAACAGCCTTCAAACAGAACTAAGATACTGGAGACAGTTTTCTCAAGAAATTTCTTTCTTTAGTGTTCACATAAAGCCACAAAGCTATCAAGGAAATCACGTTCATGGAACATGCTGAAACGAAGCTGTGAAAAATCAATATGGGATCATCATAAGCAAAAACCAGAACAAAATAAGCATTGGAAAATTGGCAATGGCTAAAACTTACATAAATCTCAAAAATTTACATAGAATATAGAGCACAGTTTGTAAACACTTTTACTAGTAATTAGCTACCAAAAGAGAAGGTATCACATTGCAAAAAGAATTGGTAAAAGAAGATGACAACTTACTGGGTACAATTGAACTAACTTGAGATGGAGGTCCAGCGGAGCTAACCCCAAGATAAGCTAATGAGGCACCGCATAGCTCTTCAAATTGACTTAGCTTATTTTGAATTTTGTCTTTCCCGACAAGTTCAATAGAAACTTTTTTGTTGCTTGCTGAAAGGACATACATTTCATCTGCAAGGGGAATGACTAGCATATAAATTCGAGAACTACTAAACTAGGGATAGTAAAATGCAACCTTAACATACACATATAGGCAACACGAAATAAAAATACCCTCAAAGAATCATCAAACATCATGGTAAATATAATGGGTTTAAGTCTATTCGATGCAAGTTGGTCATTCATCTGGTCACCTCAACTTTAATTCCCATTCAAATCATAGTCAAATTTGCTTACATTTCTGCAGATTTCCACAGTTTTACATTTCCTCATAATTCCACATAAATTGATTCCCAATGAACCCATTTAGAATGTGATAAACCACATGATAAGTTCTACTTGTATTATTTTGTTTAACAACATCAAATTAGTGAATGGTCTTGCCATAGTTATTAAATTTAAGGCAATTCACAACAAATGTACACCATTTGTCCTACACCACTCTTTACACTTTGCCTAACTTCATCGAAAAACAATCTATATTTCCACATTTAAGGTAGCACATTGCACATACTTATAAAGTTCATCATTTCATAAAAATAAAAAAAAATAAAAAAAAAAATAATAAAAAAAAAAAGCTGATAACATACTTCACTATATACCAAAACCAAATAATTCTCAATCAACTCATATAACACCAACAACAAACATAACTAAAAATAATAAAACAATAACCCTCACGCCCCGTCTAGTAAGCGGTAATAAATCGAGGGAATGGTAATGACCACCTATCAAACGGGCCGTAAATAACATTAATATACCTTCCTCTTCCTTGGTGGTTTCGCCTCGATATCGAATCATAAGAGCTTCCAACAATGTAATACCAGTAGACAGAAGATGGGGTCGAACAAAAGATGCTGATTTCTCCAATTTAGCTTGAAAATATCGAACTCCATTAATAGAACCATCATTTTTACCATCTCCATTATCCCAATCAACACCAACCCAGTCCCCAGAATAACCTTGTACTGCTCCAACATACTTCACCGTTCCAATTCTTCGAGTATCCCCAATTGAATGAACTCTTTGCTCGATTTTAAACATGGGTTTTGATTCACCCATTTCTTCCTTACTTCCTAATGTTTTATTGATGAAAAAATTGACTAAATTATATCCAAATTTCCATTTATTGAATATTTCTAGATTTTTGGGTGGATCGTGGATGAATCAAGAAATAAGTGTATTTGTGTTACTGTGTATGTCTGTATGTGATTTTGATTTGCCAGATTTTGGTTTATAATCCCTCCATTTTGCAAAATTGATTTCGTAAATACGGCATACGAAGTATAATGTACATCTTCTAGAGTTTTAGCTATTAATATCAGGCAAAAGCTAACAAACGTCTTTAAAGTCAAAGATAGCTGCTAATGGTAGAAAAATTAAATTAAAATGAACATTAATTATACCAATTGACGTGTGATTATTTTAAATGTTTATCTCACGCCCGTCCGAAAACGTTTAGCAAGATCTTAAATGTTATTAATATTTAATATAATATTATAATATTATTAATTATGTTAAGTTGCATTCCACCATCACTATTACGAAATATTTATTTGTGGGTAGGTTACTCTGGTATAAGTTGTTCCGAGTGTATGACGCAAAGTAAAGATTTGATAACGTGATTGATATGAGTGTCAATATTTCGGTTGAATATTTCAAACACTAATTTTGACATCTAAAGTGAGACCATTTTGCGAATACAATATTTAACTAATACAAAGTACAAATTTTTTTTACTGTGTAATAGTAATTTTTACTACTCCATACATTACTCGGTATAATAGTAATTTTTTTATGATTTCTGAAGTATAATACTTCGTAGGATGTTTTTTTTTTTACTACTCCATACATTACCCCCTCGGTTCCTCTTGGCAGAATAGGCATAAAGTACATAAGCTTAATGACCAATTTTAGATATAATCACTAATAAAGCTATTTTACAAAATAAACTACAAGTCACTAGGATGACAAAATTATTGGGTAAACACAGATTCAGTAGATGACCGTCGATAGGGTTGCTGCTGTGCACTAGCAGGCTCTGCAGGCACACCTTCATCGGCACGTTTGTCTTCAAACCATTTCAATATTCTCCTGCGAGGAAGGCTTATCACATGGGCAATGCTGCTGATCATGGTATTCTGCACATTTTAAGATTCAGTCTCAGTCTTTCTAACAAACAACTAACTAGTACAAGAACTTTACCACAAAATGTCGAAAGAGAAGTAAGAGAATGAACAAAGAAAAATTTTTGTATATAACTATAAATTTAAATCAAAGCTTGGCAATTGCGAGATCAAATGAACTAGATGCTTTTTATTTATCCAAAAAATACGGAATCTGATAATAAACACACAGCATACTATTTTCAGATGTATAACACTCCAATTCAAAATTAAAAACATTCTTCAACACTCAGGCTTTGTTCTCTTAACTTGAAAGCTCTTATATTAACTTAAATGTTATTGACCCTCTATAAATTCATCCTAGTTGTAAATTGGACTTCAGTATAACTTGTCTGAACTAATAGGCACTTATCCGAAGTCCAAACTATTTTTTCCTTAAACTTATTTGTTTAAGGTTAAATGAATAAATTGTCAATAACTGGTAACGTCAATAATTATTGATGATATAAAAGATAAGCAGCATATAAGGATATAAACTCTGGCTCAGGTTCTTTGCAGAAAGCAGTGCAAAGAACAGAGTCTAAACAGATGAATACTTGATGGACATAAACTTACTGTAGGATGCTTAGTACGCCTGTAGACGTTTTCTAGAGTTTCAACTTGAACTTTCTTCAATCTCTTTCGTGCAGACCAGCTACCTTGCAGGACATGGATGGGAGTTTCGACCTTGGGTTCAGGTTTATCAGAATCAGCAATCACCTCAGAATCAGCAATAACCTCAGAAGGAACAGCTGGCGTGTCTTCATAGTCTGGAATCGTGACAACAGGCTTTGGTTTATCAGGCAAAGAAGCACTCATCATTAACAGATTAGGTGGTGGCTCCCGCAGCAATTGAAGAACAACAGCCCTATCAAGACATAACTCAGCTGCGAGATTTTTTATCTGCAAGGAAAATGATAACTTTGGTCAATGGTGAAACCATAATAGTTTACCAACAAAGATAGGAAATTCTTTACCATGAGCTGGGAATATAGTACAAAGCAACATCCCCTTCACAAACTACATACACCATAAACAACTTTGAACAAATACTACAATACGTACATTGGTGCATGATAAGTCACTTTTCTATTCAACACCCTTAACCTACACCTTTTGAAAGGAGCTTGTTTCAGACTGATTGTCCTGTCAACTTATTTATGACATGATTTCACTAATTCACAATACACAGCACAATGTGTGAACACATCAGTACATGTGCCTAATGGAAATATATCAGCGTACTCCAAAGGCAAGCCTTTAATTAAGCACTTTTCGACAACAGAGAAATGAATGTCACAGTAACAGAAGCCCAGTTAATTGCTCATTTCAAAATGATGGCAACTTCAACATCATATCAGTCGATCTCGAATTGCAACGACAGTCAGTCCCTACCCATTTAATATTTGCACTGAAATGGCTCTTCTACTCGCTACAATCTCCATTCCCACTCATTTTCTGCTCCAAATTCATCTTCAAGTATAAATTTCATATATATCTTGCAAGATTTTCTAACACAAGGGTCTCAGACACTGATTATGACTCAAGTACAAATGGTATTGACAACAAAGAGTACATGACTTACACTAGTTTTACGGCGGCCAACCTTCAGCACTTGTGCCAATCGACGAAGTTGCCAACCTTTCAGTTGTACTGGTTCCTCTTCCTCCTCCTCGTCTTCTTCTTCTTCATCACCGGCATCATCTTCTTCAACTTCCTCTTCCATTTCTTCTTTTGCACTTTCTCCTTTGGGAGCATCATTTGTTGTCGCACTTAACAACGCCAACATATTTTCATCTTCTGCAAGTGCTTCTTCTAGCTCCCGTTCGAGCATGGCAAGCTCTTCTTCAGAAATCTCATCCTCACCATCATCTAAAAACTCCTTATCTTGCTTGAGATCTTCTTCAAGCTGCTTAAAAAGAGCCTCAAAACCATCCTCCTCTATATCATCATCTTTATTAGAGTCTTCTTTCTTGCGACTCTGCAAGCAACAAGAAGAATCATCTTGTTGGATTGTATAATGCATTTCCTACCAGTATAATTAAAGGAAAATAAAATGCAACAGAGAAGGCAATCATAGGAGATGAAATGCACACAGCAGTCTTATACTCTTATGTCAATGAGACTGATTCTCCCTTATCATGTAAGGCACAAAATTATTTGCAAACCACAATAATTGCAGAAGAATGCAAGAAAATTTTGTGCCAAGGTACTAAAGTTTTATATTCCTATAACTTCAAGAGGTTGCAAAGCATTCTCAAAATGCATCATAACTCACAAGGCACATAACTTGATCAATGGTGCCACCTAGCGTTATGCTTATTTGCTCTCACTTCAGTTCAACTACCATTTCCACTGTCGTACTTCCCATAAAGTCATCAATATATAAGACCACAGACTAAAACTTAGCTCGAACTCACCTTACCAGGAGTGAATCATAAACATGGCAGGTGATAGCCAATACCGACAAAAACTTGACTCGAACTCAGCTTACCAAGAGTGACTTAGTGAGAACCCAATTACATAAAACTTACCCCACATCTATAGACTATTAACATACTAAACACCTAAAATCAAATCCAAAATTGTTGGCAATTCTATGTTACTTAAACTCGGCTACAAGTGTCACACAAAACTGCCTCACGAAAATTTAGCATGATTTTGGTCCAAAATGAAGTGTCATATACTCATATCTATATCCAATTGTCAAGTATCCGACATGGGTATTCGAGAAAAAATGAATTGTTATGAGTATTAGAGTAACATAGGCTGCTAAATGAAGATAATACAACAAACCCAAGTAAAATACAGTCCCAATTAACTCAACAAAACACTCATCCAAGGTAAATTCACTAATTAATTCCATATTATTGATATTAAATACTTCCACAAAAATCCCAGAAAATATAATTACAAATTCCCATTATCCACAAATTCATGGGAAATGGAAAACTAAACAAAAACTTATTATTAACATCATATAAATGGATAAAAAGAAATCAAAATTAAGATTATAAACAAGAAATGAAAGAAAAAAGACCTTGTTTTTCTTGGAGGAGACGGGGCGGCCGGAGTTGCTACGGCGGCGAGCGTGGCAGAGGACGGAGCGGGAGAAAGGGACACGTGGAAGAGAGAGATTGGATGGTTTGGGGTAGTGAGAGAAGATGTAATTGTTGTAGGATTGTGAGGAAGAAGAAGAAGAGGAGGAGGAAGGTAAGGTTGAAAGAGTAATGGAGGATGAATTGTTATGTATTGAAGTGAAGTTCATCTTCTTCTCTTTGTTTTTCTTAACACTATTCTACAGTTCTACTACTATTGAGGGGTTTTGATTTTTGAGAGATTGTGAAAAGAAAGATTTATCCTTTGCATTTGAAGCATGGATTGGACTGAAAGAGCTGCCTAACTTTGGCTACTTGGCTAGGCTCTCAATTTCTTTTTCGTTTTGGTCCCTTGATTCGTGAGAGGCTGGTGCCCTAGCTGGGCAAGCGGCAGGGCATGACCGCATGAGTGCACAACCTTTATAGGAAAATATAGAATGATTGGTGGATGTAATTTTTCGGATTTCACATTGGATTCATCTCAAATTTTGATTGGAGCAAATTTGAGTATGATTTAAGGGGTGGTCTATAGTTGACTAATGGGTTTGATATATGTATGACTTATCAATTGGCTATTAGACGTGGGTGGGAGGTAGATTTGAAAGTATATTCACTTACACTATCTCGGTTTAGCTCTTTTATACATAACAATTTTGATATGCATGTTTTTTTTTCCTTTTGTTTTTTTTAGGGTTTTTTGAAATAAATGTTATTAATGAATGTGGATTTTAGATTTGTGAATTGCAAATATTTGACTAGTGGTTTTTAGTAAATATGTTAGGTTGTTATTTTGTTAATAAACAGGTCATATAAGACCACTCTTATTCATGGGCAAAAAAAAAAATGGCATTGTCTCTCTACCCACTTTCTCACTCCTCTTTCCCACTTTTACTCATGGGCATTTTATTTTTACAATTTCTCAAACACTCGTGGGATAAAAAAAAAACCCACACTTCTCTCTCTCTCTCTCTCCTTCACACTCACGGATTATATGTTAATTACCTTGCTTTTACTTTTTTATAAAATTTTGTTATATTACTTGCATGGCCCACCAATAAATCAACACGGTAGCAAATTGATTTGCCAATATGCCATTGTTATGAGCAATGCTATGGGCATTTTTTTTTTATGCTTGGGAAACAATTATTCCATTTTAAAAAAAAAAATTCTCCTCATGGGCAAAAAAATGCCCATGAGTGAGAGTGCTCTAAGCATGTTGTGGATATCTAATTAGATGGTAAGGCTAATGCAAATATAGATTTCAATGTTGGATTCATATCTAATGATGTATATGTGATTGATATTACCTATGTGATTGCATGAAGTTAAATTAGTTTGACTTAACATCAAAATACAAGCACACAAAACATAAATGGTTGATATTGCTTGAGTGACCAGTGAACACCACCAATTAAAGGTTCAAACATCCTCTCTTGTTTTACTTTCAAGGTTTTATCACCTATGCCTTGGCTTTTCATTTTATATATTTTGAATATGTGTTTGATTGTGGTTTTAAGGAACCTATAGGTAAGATTTTTTTTTTCTTAAATTTTTGCTCTAAATCTTTAAGTCCCATTGAAACATGCCCTTTTTAAACAATACATGTAAGTGTCTCACATCAATGAAAGAAGGGAGAGTTAAACACTTTTTAAGGCTTAGGGTTCTCTTCCTATTGTCTGATGGTTTCAAAATAGAATTTATAGAGACTTGTGAAGTTGATTTGGTCTTTTGGTGATAAGTTTAGCCCAATGCTGAATTTACCATAGTATTAGAGCTAGACCCATGATTTAGGACCTCTAATGGCTTTAATGTACTTTGGGTCAAATTGAATTGAGTCCATGTGAGTGGAGCGTGAATGCAATCTAGTACCATGAAAATATTTGAACTTGTGAAGTGAACTTTCTCTCTTTTTATCTATCTCTTGGTGACAAGTTCGGCCAATATTTGTATTAACAAATCCTAACATTAATTATTTGTTTGTGCATTTTGTCTTTCAATTATATATACTTTTTTTTTGGAAAAATTGTCCAGAATAATCCAACCTTTTTCTCATCCGCCCAAAATAATCCCACATTTGGATTATTTTTAAATAATCCGACCTTTGATATCAATCCGCTCAAAATGGTCTCAACCGGTCATGCAACTTGTTATACCAAGTTACTTGACACGTGTCGACTCGTGATTCGTTATAAAAATAAAAATAAATATTAAAAAATGTTAAAATTTTTTAAATAAAAAATAAATAAACTTTAATTTCCCTCCCCTGCCTGACTTCCCTGCCCCGTCGCTCCGGCCACCCAGTCCACCAAATCAAACGCCGGAGCCGGCGCCGAAGCAGCGCCCATCTGAACCTTCTAACCTCAACCCCTTTTGCCAACCAAACACGCACACCCTCGTCTCCCCTGTTCCTCCTTCAAAACAGCAACGACCAGCCACAACGCTACCATTTCCGGCAACCGTAAGCAGCTCTATCCATTTCTCACCCATAGCCTCACCTCGCACCAGCCACATACCCCTACCACAATCCACAATCTGCCACATTACACCCATAGCCTCACGCACACCGCATATACAGCCCCCAAAAACCACCAACCATCTCCAATTCACAAGCCCGCAATTGTAGCGGCAACCACTAATCACAACCGCACCAAAAACCTCCCACCCACTGCAATTCAAACCGCAACAATCTGCCGCCATGAACAAACCTCTAGCAGCCCCAATTTCAGCCAATTTCGGCTCAATTTGCGGAACCCATGGCAACTATTTCGGCCTCCCTCACCTTCCCCTGCCCCGATTTTGGCCGCCCAGACCACCCACAATAGCGACGACGGCGATCGAGCTCCGATGTCACAGCTGCTACAATGATGTCACGGTGGTTGGGGCTGGGAAAGGATGTGGCTGGGTAGCTGCGAATTTTTTTTTTAATTCATTTTTTTAAAAGATTTAAAATTTTAGACAAATTATACGGTGACACGTGCACTCTAAACTCATTTTTTTTTTTACTTGTTTATTAGGTAACCGGTCTCTTGGGTCAATTTTGAGCGGAGTGATATCAAAGGTCGGATTATTTAAAAATAATCCAAAGGTGAGATTATTTTGGGCGGATGAGGCAAAGGTCGGATTATTCTAGGCAATTTTTCATTTTTTTTTTTACTTTGATTTATTTTTAGTTCTAATTTTTGTCTTTTGCGTTGTTAAAGTTAGCTTTTATGATTAACTTATATTCCCTTGTACGTGTTTTTATAAGATTTTATTTAATCGTAAATTTTACGAGATTAAAGCTATTTTACTTATTTTTTGTCCCTAATTTCTTTATTTTCTTCATGATTATACTTTGCTTATTTTAAAGCTTTCTTTGTACCCTTGTTCATAGTTTTGAAGCTTTATATTGATTAATTTAGGTCCTTCACTTCAATTAATGTTTTTGAAAATTGCATGCTACTTTGAGTTTAAGATTAAACTTATTTGACATGTGTTGATTTGTGTGTCTTGGTGATTAGTTTTAGCTTTGCTTTATGTTGTTATCCTCTCTCAATTTTAATTCTTTATTTATCAATATTTTAGGAGGGTTCTCAAAAATTTGTAATACTAGTTTGCAAACCAAATGCCCCTAAATCTTCTATTAACAGCTATGGCATCATCATTGATGTCAGTGTTCGACAATCATTTTCCTTATTTTTGATTTGCCATTGTATTTGCTAACTCTATCGATAAGAGGTTTCTTTCACCGCTCCTAGCTTTCTTAAAGGAGAAAGGATAACGATTTTTCACTCTTACGCTATGGAGAAAATACAAGTTTATCTCTAAGTCCCACAAATTTTAATTTAGGGCATGTTCACATTTACTTAATTTCAGTTCAGTTCAGTTCAACTCCAATCAATTCAGTTTAGTTCAGCTCCTAATTTCCCTCTCTCATAAAATATTCATTTCAGCTCAATTCAGTTCGGTTCAGTTCAGTTCAGTTCAGCTCCAATCAATTTTGTTCATTTCAGCTCCAATCAGTTTAGCTCAGTTCAGTAAATGTGAACAGACCCTTATTTAAATAAATTAGATACCCTACTTGATTGGGATGAGAATCAAACCACTCTTAAGTATGAAAAGATGACCTAAAAAAACATAAAATTGAAAGTTATATACAAAACATTTATATATTCTTTACAAAACATCTTCATATTCTTTCCGCGTTTTTTGTCTTTACCAAGCAAGGTACAGGCTGGTGTACCTTAAAATTCAATGGTTCGTGGAGGCGGATGTACCATTTTTTAAAAAACGATTTTACTGAATAAAAGCATGGTTTAATATAATTATTTGTTTATTATTTTGGAATATTTCAACCAATTATAATATTGGACTATAAGAAAGTCAAAAGAAATTTTCTCAATCCTAATCTTATGCCACCTAGAAATCCCATTCGTGACCATAATATCTTTTTCCAAGATTTTCGTCAGACTATCAAACAGCCTAATTGAGAACTCCTCAATATCCTTCAATAGCCCTCGGCCTTCGCAGATCGGGCCCTCGGTTTGGTACAACCCATTCGGCCTGGGGCTGACTCTCTACCCAGCCGAGAGTTAGGCTTATCCCTCGGCCTCACACCCAACCAACGTTGCTTACCCCAGCTTTGCATACCCCAAAAATTCTAAAATTCAGAAAAATTCTCAAACACAAACCCTAGAAATTTGAAAATTACACTTAAAAAACCTTGATTTCCGCTGGGCATAACCATTCTACCCCGGGGTTAAATCAATTCCATAAATTCAAAGTTCAAGTATGCCTACCCCTAAGATAAATTCAAAAATTCAGAAATTCCAAGTACAAAAACACCTAGACATGCTTTCGGATCTACAAAAATGAATCAAAAAGTGAAAATTTTTCACATACCTCTTGAAGATCTTGATGAACTTGGAAGAACTTGATGGTGTGAACTTGGGTGATGTGACCTGAACACTCAAACTCTTAAGAACTTGGGGGGGAATTTGGAGAGAATTTTTTGAGAAATTTCTTTAAGGCAAGTGAGAAATGAAAAACAAATGAAGTGAGGTGGGAGTTCATATGTTTCAAGCTAATTAAGGAGATGGCAACTCCTCAAAACCCTGGTTCAAATGGGCCTAGGTAGTACTTGAGCCCAGAAAATCACCATTGAAGGATTAAGCTTAATTACCATCTCAATTAGCATGGAATTACCATCATCTTATCTTTGAAAATCCCAATCTTAGTCAAAAATGGAGACAAGACATGCCTTCAGCAAGATACATGGGGCTCAGCCTGAAGAAAATATTCTGAAAAGGGAAAATCCATCAGTTATCCCTAAGCCATCATCAGGCTTAGCTCTCCAAACTGCTCAATCATCTAAATTAAAGTACCTTCAATGCATTGCTTGGGGCTGGTTTTCACCCTTGCA